ACCTGCCTGGAAGCATAACGTCTGTCCTGAAACACCCTATTCTCATAGATCTGCTTACACGTGTGCATGTTTTCTGTGTGTACGTGTTAGCGTGTATATCTGTATATAACAAACAGTTAGAAAGAATGAGGGAAAAAAAGTAAAGAAGAGGAGAAGAAATCCTAACTACCGAGAGGGGGATATAAGGGGTTAGTCAACTAAATATTGCTCTAAAAACTGGTCACGAGGTCACCATACAAGACCTAAGAAGTAAACAAAGAATTAAATCAGTAAGTAATATAAGAACGAGAATTCGGAGACCGGGCTGGGCCGCCTAGCTGATTTTGAGAATAATTTAATAAATATGCAGAATTTGAGAAAAATATAAATGAAGTGGCTCTGTCACTGTCTGGGTCTTTGTCTAATTTGCAAAGATCCCCAACAGTGAAATCACTCCTGGGCTCCGGTGGCCATAGGGGCAGTGGAAGGTAGGTTTTACTTACCTGAGCTTGCCCCCCACGGCAGCTGCCTTCCTCTTCTGTCCAGTCCTGTCCTGTCCTTTAGCTGCCAAGAGCCAATTTAGCTCTTCACTCTCGCGCATGCATGAGAGTACCGCATTGAGGTATGTGGAGGATCCTGCGGGAAAGAGCTTATTTTCCGTACTGTCGTCACTGGTAATAGCTGGAGGAAATGACACACTATATTATTATTATTATTATTATTTTATTATTTATATAGCTCCATCAGATTCCATAGCGCTGTACAATGGGTGGACTAAAAGACATGTAATTGTAACCAGACAACTGGACGTACAGGAACAGAGAGGTGGAGGGCCCTGCTCAATGAGCTTACATGCTAGAGGGGCTATACAAAAGGTAACTGCCATTTGTCAGGTTTTGGCAAGCAGAAGAAAAATACTGAGACAAAGTAGCCCTTAGTGAGAGTTTTATGACAGTTGTCCTTTATATTAAAGGATTGCTCTATTTTGTTTTTTACAGTAGCCTTGACCTTGGGTTCTTATGACTATTCTACAGATTTGCCCTCCTGGCTTTCACTGAGTTCTGGTCTCAAATACAGTCCTATCACTGTCTGCATTGATGAAAAGGCTAGTATTAGCCATACTGTCTATATCTTTCCTGCATATTGGACCTTAGTCAATCATAAAAAAAAAAAAACTTTATGAGAAAATAAAAACCTCTGTTGCATATTTTCAAATATTTAAAATGCATGTTAAGTTTTCGTTTATGTTTACCACCAGTACAATTCAGTCAAACTCCTGACAACTTTCTCAACGGGGACCCGTTTTACAAACTGCAGGGGACGTCCATTTATTTTGTAATAACCACATACTGAATACTGAACAACATACTGAATTATTACTGCATTGTTTATGAATATGTTAAAAATAGTTTGTCTTGGTCCAAGGTTTGCCATTTGGAATGGAAATAGGTCATTTTTACAAAACTTTTTTTTTTTGTAAATTGGTGCTTAGTTGGCAGGAATCTGTGCAGCAATGCAGAGAAGAGACAATAACAAGCACACAACACGTTTAACCAAAAATACACAGACTAGCAAAATCTGCATCTCACAAATGTCTGTGTTTAATTCATTAACACAAAAAAAACACTATTAATCTCTCGCACACAACGCAGAGCGCCTACTTCGCTCTAATTTCACCATATTATATACAGAATTTCATAAAATATAACAAATCAGTAAATATTATGATTCATTGTGTTGCTATAATTATTATAAAGACTTGCTGTGGAAATACCAGCGGAAAATGTTAAAAGCGTTATCTGGACATCTTCTAACATTTAACATAATAATCAAGAATATTAATTAGCAAACAATCACATTTTTGTTCGATTTAGCACAGTGGATTGCGGATTGAATAGTTTAAAAATGGTAGTAAATAAAAGGAATTTAGTTGTTCCTAACATAAAATAACAAAGGAAGACAGGTATGTGAAATATTATCTAATCAATAAAGCATTCTATTTATACGAAGAAATGTATTTCTGTAAATGCGTTAATTAATTCAGAGCGCCAGATGTTTCTTAAAAGATGCCATCATGCCTAAAGGAAAATAAACTCCCAACTATATTTCACTTGCGCCATTTAATAAAAGCAACAAACGTTAATGATTTATCGCCGTGAATTTTGACGTATTGTCCATTTTGAACTGTAAATAACAGAGCTATCTTCACACACTGGAAGGACACAGTGACTTTAACAGGTGGAGGTGACTAAACATTCTTAATCACGCAGATTAATGTGTTGGTTGTCTACAATTAAGAAACACAATTAAAGTGTTGACGTAGTGCTATAAATTCATTGTTTATAAAAGTAGCAAGCAATTTTATTCCAAGGCTATTTTATTGAGAGCATTCATTTTCTCAGTACATTTTTATTATTACCATTTATTTAGATGCAGTATGGCACGCAGTGTGCCCTGGTATCAGTGTTAATGGATGATATGGGATTGAAGAGTCTGGCATCAAACTATGATCAAACTGTCAGTAATGGAGATACGCAAAACTAAAGGAAACTTTAAAGGAACACGTACGAGTGCTTATAGTGGCTGGGCTAGTGCCTGAGACAGATAAATTAAATATCTGCAAGGAAATAAAAAGTAAAGGTGTCATGGGAGTCTTACCCCAACATGCAGGAAAGAGGTAACTCACAAAAGGTGGATCCGAATGACGTATTACCGAGGCTTAGATTGACCAGACGTAACGTATTAATATAGCAAGAATCAAGGTCAATAATAAATCAAGGTCAGGGATACAGAAATACACAAAGTCAAGACAAAGCTGGATCAGGATACATGAAAATCACAAGTCAAATATGAAGCCAGAACAGGATACCAGAAATTACGAGTCAAATACGAAGCCGAGGTCAGGATACCAGAAATTACGAGTCAAATACGAAGCCAGGGTCAGGATACCAGAAATCACGAGTCAAATACGAAGCCAGGGTCAGGATACCAGAAATCACGAGTCAAATACGAAGCCAGGGTCAGGATACCAGAAATCACGAGTCAAATACGAAGCTGGAGTCAGGATACCAGAAATCATGAGTCAAATAAGAAGCGGCTGTGCGGCTCGAGGGAGGTAAGTACACGCTACAAAAGGAGAGTAAGGCTGAGGTCTAGGATAGCAGAGATACACAGAATTGATAGTCAGAGGTCAGGGTAACAGAGAGCAAGAATGGTCAAACAAACCAAGGTAAAAAAACTGTAAATCCAATACACTGTATAAACACACTCTCAGGTAACAGGAACCGTGACAGGGCAAGGAATCAAAGACAGCCAGGAAGTATATATACCCTATATTGGATTGTGATTGGTTATAGAGGACCGTGATGTTTCAAGTGTGTATACATCATCAAAAAGCACCACTTAGACTAACATTATAAAATCATTTATGATGTCATAATGAGGCACCAGGAAGCTAGGGATGAGTGTGTGTCCATCAGAACACAGAAGAGACATTACTTCCATGATCACACATGTATCATGGCGCAAACTAAATGATGGACCACCCAGTAATCTATTGCAAGCATTGCTGGGCAACTGGTATGGTCTTTTTAAATTCAGAGCCACGCATAAGGTTTTGACTAGTTACATTGGGTGAACACTAGGGTACACCTGACACCATAATAACTACAGCACATTGCAGCCGAGGCCTGCTCTGTGACTGGTGTATTGTAAGTATGAATCGCTCTCTGCAACTGGATTCCAAGATTTACACATCGAGCCTCATAGACCTCACAGTATGCCATTTCTGAACAGGGTTGACAGCCATGTAATGATTTATGAACTACAGAACCCATAATTATCTGAGAGACATACGCTGGCCAAGCTGATAACAATGGATGGAGCAGAAGTTTAAGTCCAGAAACCAATGGTCAAAAAGACTTCCTGTACTTTTCTCAACTTATACCAAACCACATGCAATCTGAATGAACAACAATCTTTAGGAAACAAGGACAGCCTAGAACAATATATACTCTATAGGGCTGTGATGTCACAAGTGTGTACAAGTCATCAAAGCGCCACATAAACTGTCATTACAAAAGTAGACCAACGGAAGGGTTCCATGTCATCAATGATGTTAGAATGAGGCACCAGGAAGCTAGGGATGAGTGGGGATCACATGGCGTTGTTAGGGACAGGTATCATGATAGATACCTTAGCTGGATACAATGGTATTGTATCTAGCATATACTACCGTACCACACTTCAGTTAGATGACCCCTTAAGCCTTAAAAAAAAAAGTGCATTCTCGTCCATTATTTGAAATTCAGATTAAATCCAAACCAATGTATTCAAACTGCTCTCCAGATTCCTCTTCTTAAAATATCTTGTTGTGAGTTGGGTGAAATATTTATTCATATCAGATCATATGCTCCACAACCTTTCCTCTAGTGCTGTGTCCTGCCAAGTAGGTTGAGGTCATTAGAAACAAGAGCTATACCCTTTAAATAGAAAATAAACAGCTCAGTGGATGCCGTATCAGAAGACTTGTTTATATAACAACAGCCTCATCATAAACTATAAAAAAAATAATAATGTAAAAATAAATGTAATGTCCCATTGTGACTCTTTTTATTTTTCACTTTTCTGGCAGAGACGTATAATTTATACATCTAGCATCCTTTTCACAATCAGTGTGTTTGAAAAAGATATATATATATTTATAACCTCTAAGACAGGATTACTGAATGCCTGAATCACTGAATTTATTATTATTATTATTTTATATTAATTTTGTGGCACAGGGATTTGTTTAGAAAATTAATTGTATCTGTTAACTCAAACTCTGTCAGGTTCTAGGTGTTGAAGAGACAATATTAATTCACTACTGGTTTTTTTTCAGCTTATAAACCAGGTTCTGTTATTATTTGCCTATTTCTGACTGAGCCTGCCACACACAACATGGCTAATCTATCCCCCCGGTGACGCACGCGGTTCCTGCCAGCTGGTTGGCTGCTGGATCAGCGCGCTGACGTCAGAGCTGGGAACCCGGAAGAGCTGAGCTAACCCTGGGTGACAGTGAGGGCAGAGCTCCAGCTCCCCCTCCCTGGTTGGTTGTGTCATGAGTTTGCTGTACTTCTTAAAACCACAACGTCTGCAGTATGTGGCAGCCCTGGCTCAGCCCCTGGCTTCCTGCCTGAACTCTGGGATAAACAGGACCCCCTGCCCCCAAATCCCCCCCAAAACAGGTCTCAGGCAGAGCAGCTCCCCCCCAGTCACCATGGATGACCTGCTCAGTAAGTCTGTGCCCCCTCTGGCTCCCTATGAGACCAAGGAGAAATACCCTCCACCCTCTGAGAGACAGAGCCTCCACTTCATGCAGTATTACAGGGCCCTAGAGAAAGAGGAGAGGGCAACCTTCCTGGGCAAGCTGGCTACTGAATTTGGGGTGGACCATGCCCAGGTAGCAGAACTCAGCAGTAAAGTGGTACAGGCCCAGCAGAAGAGGGACATGGGCACTGTGCTTCAGGTGGAGGACAGGCTGAGATACTACCTCACCCCTCAGTACAAAGTGCTCTTCTGGCATATCAGTAAACTAGAAGGTGGTATGAAATTTTTGGTGGACCTGAGAGCTGACCTTGTAGAAAGTCTTTCATCAAAAATGGCAGATGGTCCTCATATTAGGGTAAGATCTATCATAATGTTCTTCTATTGTATTTCTGTTTATTTGCTGTGTGCAATAAAGCTTCTTAGTCTCATCTGGATTTCATTTGATAACACTATTTTTAATTTAAAAGTTGTTGAAAAACTACCATAGGTTCAAACAGCCCACAAGTTGGGGAAGGACGTAAAATGAAGAATCTAGCAATTTCTGATTTTTTTTGGAAGAAATTAATTTTTTCTCTCTCCACAGTGAACTGTTTAGAGAATAAACCCCAATATCTTATTTGCTGTAAAGTCAGTTCCTCATGTAATCATCTGTGTGTAAATATTAGCCAGTACCCACCTCGCTCTGCTTTCCTCAAAAATTAGCAAGAATGCCTTCTGAAAGAACTAGACCAACCATCACATACAGTGGCTTAAAAAAAAACCAAACACATTGCCACTGGTGAGGACACAGTTAAGGATCACACGCTCAAAAATAAAAATAAAAAAAGTGCTTGGACCTCTTTACTATTTTTACTGAGCCCTCATACAGAACCCCTAGACACATTATTCAATGAACTGAAAATTGTGAAGAATCGATAAGCAAACTTCAAGTTTTTGGACAAAATAGTTCAGCTGGAAAATTCTCCAACGTCTCTTATTTTGTAGCTTACCTGTTTGGGTCTAAAATGTGCAATTCTCCTGTCTTTTCTTTACGATTTCTGGTCTAATAAACTCCATAAAATATGGTAATATTGGCAATATTATTACTATCACATAACCTTTCTAAATACTTTAATCTAAACGAACAAAGTAAAATTAACTCGAAATAATGCTAGGCTACTAACATTTGTCAAATATCGGTCTTTTTATCGCCTTGTATATGTTGTAGTGTTATTCTTTATATTGGTGTAAATTTAAAGAATTAAGGATCTAAAACATACCAAAATATTACAATCTAATATAAAATAATTACATTGTTTAAACATGGTTACCAGATAGTGACAGTAATTTGCCCGAGATGATAAACCACCAATAGGTTATGTAAATTAGGTTTATTTTGTGTGTGATGACAGGTAGGTATTTTTCTGTCACTTCCAGCTAGAAGGGAGACCTAAGCGGGCATTGAACATTTTGCCTTGCACCTCCCAGAAACCTCCATCACTAATTCTAGAAGATAACACAGATGTCTGTATAGATATTTGAGGGTTTATGGGATGTACTTTTCCCTGTTAGCTTTCATGGTCTTTCATTCTCTTGTGTAAATATTTCAGTACCGTTTTTCCATCCAGACCTGCACCAGTTGGTTCTGTTCGTGCGTGGTCAACTTTGTATATTTGTGCCGTAAACATTTGCACAGGAATAGTTTATGGAATATGCATAAAGTATCCAAAAAAAGTTCTTGAAGGACCAGGGATGGCTGAATGAGTTCGGTCCTTAAATGGTACTGCAGGTGGTCTAAATACAACCATTGACTTGTCGTTCAGTATATTTGTGTGTAAGGCCACAGGTACTGGTGGATTCTCCTTGTATACGCTGTGTGTTTGACTGTGATTTCCCATTGTCTATCTACATGTAGTATATTCTACTTCCTAACATTGTTTGTATGGAAGAGAGATCCCAGTTATTTTCTATTAAAGGGACACTGTAGTCACTATAAGCATTTCATCTCTTTGAATTGGTTATAGTGCCTGGAGTACCCTGGCACTGTCCCTCCATTCAGTGTTGCACCATGTTCATGCAGAATGCCACAAAATAAGAGTCCCTGGCCACCCACAGTCCGGCCCCTTCAGTATGTGTAGCTAAAGCAGAGATTACACACTTCCTTGTTGTCATATCCACTCATACCGTCAGTTGGAACTCTGACAGGCTAAAAGCAGTCAGCTGACACTCTCAGCCAATCACAGCTGCCCATTTCTGCTCAGGCTAATACTTCCTTATTAGCCAAAGCAGCACAGAGGGGATGGATTGCCGGGGACTCTTGTTTAGCATTAAAACATTAAAACTTTAAAAACTGTTTAATGCTGATAGAAATGATGGGACCAGAAGACTCCAGACACTATAACCAGTTTAATGAGATGAAGCAGATACAGTGCCTACGGTGTCCCTTTAACTTGTATGAGTACGTTTACATTCTTTCTCCATACTGACATTGTTGTAATGATCTGTTTGCTTTGACGTAGCTCCCTGTATCTTTGCTGTACATCACTGCACAGCTCTGCCAGTACAAGGTATAGGAGGGACGAGATTGGCTCTGACACCTTAGCCATTCCTTGCTTTCTGTAGACCGATTCATTTATTGCATTGTTTATGTATCATCTATAAACCCAGGTGATAAATTAAAATGGGTGATTAATCTACTCCACGTTGTTTTGTTTTTATTATTTAATCATTCAAGACCCTACAACCTATCCTTCTGACCATATTCTTGTTGTTTTTTTTTTTTTTTGTAACCAGAAAAACCCCATAGGAAAGCATTGGATTGGTTGATATTGTCAGTTCTGATAATCTCTGCCAATGAGATGGGGTGGGGCTGATGGTGGGGCCAGATTCCTCCCTAGCTAATCAGCATCTCCTCATAGAGATACACTGAATCAATGCATCATTATGGGGAAAGGTAGACGCTGAATGTCAGTCACACTGTGCACTGGCAACAGGAGTGTATATATAACAGGTCCTCTCATAGTTTTAGATGTTTTGTAACGCCATTATGTAACACCTGGCACCTTGATCAATAAACCAGTATTGTCTTGTCCCTGCACTCCGTCTCGTCTAGTGTTTGGGTGCAAGATGGGAAGATGTCATCATTTTATCCAGCATCTGATTTATTTATGGTTGCCCGAGATTAATGAAGAAGCTTAGGCTGCTATGGGAATAGCCATTAGGTAACCAGTTTCTGTGATAGCTCCTCAATGTCCTGGTGACATGGAGAGTGGACAGACACAGTAGCAAGTACAGTGTGGATCCACTTTTCTTGTTAGTGGTGGAGATTATGGTGACTTAATTCATGAGTGATTGGCTGTCAGTCAAATCTATCTGCTTGCCAGTTCTACATTCTGAATTAATTGTACGTTGTATTCAAGCTTTCTTTTTTTTTTACACACATTGTATAAGCTTTGAAGTAAATGGACGATTACAAGGCTTTTTAACCTGTGTTTCCCGTTGTGATACTCTTTGTTAATGTACAATTTAATAGGAGCCTCACTTTTGGAAACTCTATGCTGATTTTTAAAATTGGTATTTAATCTTTACAAAATGGATATCATGGAGAGAACTTCCAAGTAGATTAATGGTCTGTGCTATGGTGGTTGAAAGATTTTAAAAAAATGGTGTACAATTTAATGTAGATAATATATCATTTGGTGAATGTGATTTTTATTTTTTTTTATTTTTTTTTACGTGTGTTAAGATTGTGCAAAAATCATGTACATAAAGAATAAAATGAAAAATCTATCTAAAAAGAATTATGAAATATATTTTGCTTCCAGATTTGTAAAAATCTCTGCAGAATCAAAAATACAAACATAAACCAAGCTTTCCTTTAGGAAGCCAATCCACCAGGAAGTAACAGGACCATGTGTTTGATTGACAGCCAGGGGGGTGTTGCAGGTTTACCGCCTTTCTATTAAAATCTACACTTTTTTGTAAAATTAAATAAAGAAGACACACTCTTTACAGATAAAGCACTTCGGCAAGATAAACCACTTTAGAGATCTGCATTGTCCCACCAAGATGCAAAACACAGCTTTCTTTTCTTTTGCAACATAAGTCTGGTTTAACAAATACCATAAATTACTTTATACTGTTTCTATGTAAATAGATTTCACTAAAACACCAAATGAAATTTTTTAATAACATAACAGTGGTGAAAATTTGCAGCCAGCTGTGATGAAAAAAAATACATTAATTTCCATAATTATGTGTTGGTTCTTGCAATAATTTAAAGTGAAATAAAACACGTTTGTTATTTCTTGGAAGCAGATTGTCTTTACCGAGTTACGTGCATCCCTCCCTCCTAACCTCTCCGGCTTGGTAGATGAGCACAGAACATTCCAAACACCGAAGCAGTTCAGCTTTGGTGTAAATGCTGTATGTGTTTAATATAAGATTTCAATAGAAATTAGCACTTTTATTAATTTGAGAGTTACTCCAAGCATCATAACCACTGTAACTTGGAGTAGTGGTTATGGTACCACAAGTACCCTGGTAATGGGGCAAACAATCTAGCAAAGTTGTTTTGCTGCTTTGCTGGATTCCCTCTCCCTAGTGGTCCATTGATGTGCTTTCAATGCTGCGGAAGCGAGAATCTGTGGCGATCCACATTCATTGGCTAAGAGCATCAGCTGACTGGTCTAAGCCAATGACTGACATTCTGGACAATCAAAGTTGCACAGAATTGACATTAGCTAGCAATACTTCACAAACAGACTAAAGGCAACACTATGGTTGGAGTAACCCTTTAAACTTTTTACACCTCCCTGGCTTTTAATCAGACAACCAGTCCTGTTATTTCCTTGTTTGTTTAGCTCAGTAAAGATGAACTCGAGGCACAAGTTACCCAGAGCAAATCTGCCTTGCAAAGACTTCTCATTGAGCTGCATTGGGAAGACTGTGATTGGACAGACACAGAAAGTCTGGGCGCATTCGAAGGGGAAGGCTTGCAAAGGCAAGACAAGAGAACTGCAGCTTTTACTTGCCGTTTTAGATATACCCAAAAACAAAACATGACTAAATGCGTTCATGATTTCAGTGGGGTACATCTACAAAAAAACGAACAAGGAAAAAAAAAACAATAATTCCGTTGGCGTGTTCTTTCAAGGATAAGTGATCCCTATGCATGTTCATTATATGAATGTGGGCATTAACGCTCTCCCAATGGATTGGATAAAAATGCTGGGTTCGCTGTTGAGTAAGTTTGCTTGAAAGACGGATTAGGCCTCGGTCATGTAAATGAGCACATGGTGGTATAGCAAGGCTGATGGTGAAACACTATTGCTTCACGCATGTTCACTTTTACACAGCTGTTATACCATAGTAACATGATGTCAACAATATACACAAAGTAAATACATTACAGTATACCAGGAGATGGTACCTAGATTAAAACAAAATGTGTGTATACATTTAACCAGTAGGAAGTAAATGATGATTACATGAATATGATTTTCCCATATATTTTTATTTACGAACCATGATGTGTCGCACTCTGTTGTGCAGTTAAGAATATCTACCAGCAATGGCCACCATGAAAGTCTGTATATCAAAGCAGCTTGACTTCATCCTCTCCTGGGAAATCGTCCAATAAATAGTTTCTCAGTTTAGGAATGTGTTAAACCCATGTCACGCTGAGCCCAAGTTTTCCATTGATTTCTATCAGCAATTCTTGTTGTTTAAAGGGTGACCCAGTTCTATAGAACATTCAAACCTGTGAATTCTGTTCATCATGTAATTAGTCCATATTGAGTGTCACGGTAAACCGCTGATCTAAAACTGTGTCACTCACTCTTTAACTAACACACCTATCCTGCATTACTTTTCACCTCAGTCCATTCAGTCCTCTATGAAAGTAGAAAGCAGACAGCTGAATTATATGTCGTTAACCTCTTTCTGTACTGGGTTTATTTTTTGGGGGAAGGTGGAGGTTGGAGTATGCACAAAGCTGTCATAGAAAGATAGGGAATGACGCGCAGCTTTTTGGACAAATTCGTGGACTGGTGAGAGGTCATTTTAGAAGTTACAAAATCTATTACAGCGTTGGTGGTAATGTGAAATGCAGCAGAGATTTTTAAACAAAGACTGTCACCAGAAACTCAGGCCCTTTAGCAGGTATAGCATATTTTAAAGGGCATTGCTCGCCGTGTGTAGGATAATGAGTTCATGACGTCTTGTTCAAGCAATTAAACTGTAGCTTTGAGTGGTGGCAGGATTAAGCAAATACTTTCATTTATTTAATTACTGCTCTAAAAAAAACCAAACATCTGAGTTCCAACTATTAAGCAGAAAAGAGGTGTTCATTAAACTTTGGCAGATTAATATTTAAGTCAAGTAGCACAGACTAAATTCTTCATTTTATACTTGCCAAGATTTTTACCTGTTATGTTAATCACGAAACGTGTATTCCAAAGATTGCTCAATAAACCTTTTGCCTGGTCATAAAGTCACTAAGCTTGTAAGTGTATTTCAGAGTAAGACAAAAATCCGTCAAGAACCAGTAATTAAGGCCCCTGGTGTTTTGGTAGGGATAATAGGACATTATCACAGCCACATTCTGCTATTCGTTTTTCAAAAGTCATATTCTGAGAAAGGCTTATTGTGGAAGGGAGAATATCCATGATAAATTTGTATTCACATCCCAAACAACTGGAGTAATGAGCCGGCTTGACACTGGCCAATCTATACAGTGTCCCGGTAATGAATGGTGCCTGATAAAGGTCACTGGGGCATGTTCTCATACTCTGTACCTGATGTTTGGTGATTGACTTGGATTCTTTGTATGATGGGTCAACACATTGTGGCTTGGTCTTCACACTAGACGTTCAGTTAATTTTGTGGCCTCCCTTTTCTTCCATAATGTGAGGAAAAAAGCAATGTGTGAGACACTGAAGCAAGGATGGGAAGGATAATAATTTTGACCTGTGAGACGGACCATTCAGGGGCACACCAGACAATTGTGTGTGTGTTGTTTTTAAAAAAAATGTTTTATTCTTTATTTTTGGTCTGTGCTTATGGTTACAAACATGCTTGCGATGCCACAACAGCAAGAACAAGCTTAGACAAACATTTCCAAGGAAACAATAGCATGGTATATGATTAGACTGCACAGTTATTGTTACAAGACATAAGCAGTATATGTCAGGTCGATGAGGCATCATGAGTGCCAATTGGAACAGGTTAAACTAACTGACAAAAAAAAAATGTAGCCGGACATATATGAGGTTCATTCCCACCGGTCCAAAGGGGGGGGGGGGGTAACAGGGCGTGTGCTGTGTGATAGCTCTGTCCTTGCACTTCCAAGCCGGGAGAGCAGCCACCTGTGTGAGCCCCCAATGAGCCACATACTGTCTCCTGGAGTGCCGAGAAAATCGGGGAGTATAAATCTTTCCAAGGGTCATCGTTGTATGAACCGTGATGGTCAAAGTAAGCTATGTAAAACAGGCCTATGGAGGAGCTCGGTAGAGATGCGACCTTCCTCTATTATAGTCAGGCCCCACCCTTCTATTTTCATTTTTTTTTTTTTTTTTTTATTATAAGCTCCCTTGTGCCATTTAAGTCTCATTATTTCCATGAGTAATACAAAAGAAGTGGTAATTTTTTTTTTTTTTTAATTCTTTATTTATGGTACATTTTATGTAGGTTGGTGGGTAGGGTATGGGGTACAGAAGAGAAGTTGGGGGAGGGGGAAAATGCACAGTTGTACAGCATCTTCTCTGTTAACAATCGCTCAATCCTCTGTATATACAGATATAGGCATAGTAAGAACTTGTACCGTATGTGTCATGAGATTAGGCATTAAGCTGGCTGTAGCATGGACCAATAGGGTCTATATGCTGCCGTATTGTGGGTTCTATTTGGTTGTTCGTTGTTACCTAAGGATGATGCCGTTATCCCCGTTTTCAGTCCAACTGTGTAGTGGTATTGTCCCATGGGTCGCATAGTCTTCAGTTGAAGTGTAACTTGGAGCCAGGTGGTTCGGTAGTTCTCTGTTTTTGGTGTAATCGGGTTTTGTGGGCCTCGAGTTGTTTGTGCGACATGTGAGCAAGTTCCATTGCCTGGTATTCCTGTGCAGGGGTGGTGAGGTGGAGTGATGGGTGTAGAATGGGTCGTGGGGGAAGGATTCCAGGGGTGGAGGGGGAAGAAGTGGTAATTTTGAGGACTGCTTTAGGATTTCTATGAATGTTCACAGGGCATAGCAGAAGATGGCAAGCGTAAAGTCTAAAGAATGGTGGAACGTTAGAAAGAAATATAGAACTGAGTGGCAGGTGTGTGAAATAATTAGCTTTCTTAACAACTCTGAAAATAGCGAAGGGCACTTTCTATACAGCTTATTCTTTATTACTTAGCATTTGGCTAAGAGAAGAATTAAAATGGTATTTGTGGGTATAGCTACTGACGGACAATCGCTAAATAGTTTTGTGATCCACAGTTTGCTTATATTAATCAGCCCATAGAGGGCAGCTTGGGATAAAACCTTTACACAGAGCTAGGATTACAATACCAGGGATACAACATTAATTCACATCATATAGTTCTTTGTTTTGGCAGCCAGCCCAGTTGTTCCGTTGGTAATAGATAATTGTTCCTTTCTGTTTCTGGGTATCCTCTTGATTCCTCAGTGTGGTGCCGGCTACAAAAGTTTTCTGCACCTGGAGGAAAAATAATAGGAAGTAAACACGTTTATCTAAAGGTGTGAACTGAACACTTCTTCTCTGTATAAAAAAAAGTGTTGTCTTTTTATTCTTATACTTTTTGAACTGATGGGTTTTGATGATGTGAGACAGGTAGGCATCGTGTGATGTTCCCTCAGTCTGACATAGCTTGCTCTTTTCTGTCCCTCTCATAGTCCTTCCTTTGAACACTGGAAATGTATCAGAGAGGCTTATCATGGTTAACCTGTGGTCGATGGTCAAGTTCTTCCTCTTTGTACCCATCTCACATTGCTATAATTGTTGTTGACTTGGCTATGGAGTCTTTCTCCCATCCTGTTCTTAATGGGACTAGGCACAGATGCCCCGTCTCCTTGCTATTATTTGCATGGTGTTTTGAATCATTAGCTGTTCCCTTTAGGCGTATCTCTGACATTGGAAGGGTGAGATATGTAACCAAGTAGTTCTTGTTCAGATTCTTCACAACATGTAACGTAAACTCTTGAAAAACGTTAGACCATGTCAGGATGCAATCTTAGTTCAAATAAGTATGAAGTCGCTAACGTATCAAGAAGCCTACATCCAACAGCCCACATGCAAACATACAGCCTCAAAACATCCCCATCAAACAAAACATCCTTGGTGACCCATATACAACCACACCTATACACTGACACGTGGCCAACACACACAATCCCACATGTAGTCCCCATATACACTTCCATTATTCGTAAAACATACCGTGATACACAGCCCGCACACATCTATATATACATACATACATACTAACACAAGTTATCAAATGTTGGTCTCAATTTGCTTGTTCCCTTTGACCAGTGTTTGGTCTTACTCCCAACATGCAATGCATATTTCCATAAACCCTGAATAAAAAAAATGAAATGTATGCAAACAAAACATACAAGCAAGCAAGAAATGTTTCTTTATCTCCCTAATGGTAGTAATGACGATCCTCTATTAAAAAGTATTTTAGGAACGATTTTTATTTATGTATTCGGACTTGCTATAATTCCATTTTCAAAGCGGTTTTTATTTTTCCATTTAATTACTACCTACAGCTATGAATGTGTTGTTATTTTTATTCTAAATCTAAATTAAATTCCATGAAAACAAACAATATTCCGGTTTGTTGTATTGTCATATTCTGTATTTTATAAATCAATTATTTACACAATAGCAGAGCGTATTTGGCTGAATGGACTGTGCATGTGATTTTCTGTTTCCATAACGGAACCCTCCTAATCATGCTTGTATATTGTTCTGTGTACCCTTGCATTCGCCAGTTGTTTTAATAGCCCTTATCACTAAGCCAAACACTGCTGTTTCATTTGAAAGCACCCCGAGGTAAATACAATTAAATCTTTCTCTGCTTTAATAGGACCCAAGCTAAACAGCTGGCAAACATCTTCCTCCGTTTTACAAAATTAATATTTAAAGATATATTAAATCCTTTCTGTCAGTGTGAAGGGAAGGGAAAAAAAATCTTCGTTTGGATTCTCTCAACCCACATTGATGCTTGTCTTTAGGACGTCATAAGGAAGTACCGTTTTCTCCTGTCAAACCAGTGTGAATTAAAGGGACACTACAGGCACCCAGACCACTTTATCTCAATTAAGTGCCATGTCCCCCTCGTTTTAACCCTGCATTCTGTAGGAAGGGCAATGCTTACTTTGCAGGGTTAAAATGCCTCCAGTGACTGTCATACTAACAGCCAATTGAGGTGCTTCCCCCGCAATAGCAGAGTTAAACTTTGCCATTTCAATCAGATGGTATCATTGAGATAATTTGATTGGCTCAGCATAGCTTTTAGCTGCACCTGTGCACTAGACTCCCAATGCTTTACTGTGGGAAACGGACGTTATACATGTTTGTATACCCAACGCTATAATGTTCCTTTTATTTTTGTCAGTTGAATATTTTGTTACATTAGATCAGGCTCGACAAATCTTAGCTGCCAGGTCACTATGGTGATTAGGAATTTTGTCCTGGTGCCTGGGATGTGTCAGCCCGTTCAGTGGAGGCGGCCTGCATAGGGTGAATGCAGACAGCCCAGCGAGGGAGCATGGAGATGGCCCACTGAGGGTGAGTGTGGGCGGAGAGGGAGAGAGCATGGAGGCGGCCCACTGAGGATGAGTGTGGGCGGAGAGGGAGAGAGCATGGAAGTGGCCCAATCAGGGTGAGTTTTGGCAGAGAGGGAGAGAGCATGGAGGTGGCCCAATGAGTGTGAGTGTGGGCGGAGAGGGAGAGGGCATGGAGGCGGCCCACTGAGGGTGAGTGCGGACAGCCCAGCAAAGGAGCATGGAGGCGGCCCATTGAGGGTGAGTGCAGGCGGTGAGGGAGGAAGCGGTTATCTTACTACTCTCCTTGCTCTGCTCCATCACACTCCCTGCAGCAGATGCCAGGACCCTGGTTATGAAGTAACTCTGTCCCCAGCATCACTAAACAGTGCCTTCATGGCTGTGATAATCTAGATGATCTCAGCCAAGCTAATGCTTTCCCATAAAAATGCATTGGATGGCTATTGTACATGCGATAAATAGTATCTCCTCAGTGTGGCGTGGTCGGATGCTTGCCGCATGCAGCTGCTTTTGGTAGGATATTCAGGGTGTGTAGATTAACTTTCCGCAGTGGGGACCGGGATGGGGGGGGAGAAGGTCTGCAGGGTGGCATGAGGTTCTCTGTTTAGAGTGGGTACTGTGCAAGGGAATCTGCCGCCACTTGAGTCCGCATGGGCGGACAGTGAAAATCCTCAGTGGAGCGTCGGAAAGGCTAGTGAAAACCCCACCCCTGGCTGATGAAACCCCAATGTTGCTGCCGAAGGTTAACTTTCACCTTAAGCAACAAAGAGGTTAAACTCAGTATGTGCAGAGTTCCACAGGGAAATGCTGCACATACAGACTCCAGGCACCATGACAACTTCAAATCACTGAATTAGTCATGGTGCTTGGAGTAAATCTAATGAGTCTTGTGAGGAGAACTGGTGAAATCTACTGAGGTCTGCTGAGGAGCAATGATGGGTCGGTAATTCAGGAGTCAGCAACTGTAAGAAATACGTTGGGACAAATATCTTGGTGGGAGTTTCTGGCTCCAAGTGTACAATATCTGTAGAGAATGTTTGGTAAGTGAGGGGGCGCAAGTGAAGGTCAACACACACAACCGGGTCCACAGTTAGTCTAGATAAATTAGCATTTTCCAGTTTCACCCACTATAACGGTACTTACCCGGTCTGCGAGGTACATGCGGTTTGAGAACTCCAGGCAAGCCACGTGTGGCTCGGAAGCTCCTTGCCCCTGGAGGGCCACGCATGCCGAACAACCTGAGTGGGTGTGCGGCCCGTACAGTATTGGGAACGCTGCTAGCATCGCGAGCACATTCTTAAAGGGGAAACGGGAGCCTAACCTTGCGGTCGGCTCCCATAGGCCCACGTCATTCCGACGCCCCCATTCACGCACGTTTTGGGGCACAGGCATGACGTGGACCAATCAAATAAAAATAAAGGTATTTAAACTTATCTGGCTCTAGATTCTGTGCCCTTTTGTGGTTTCTGTTCCAAGTACCCCTCAGAGTGTTCCTTGTGATATAGTATTGTATTCTGGTATTGACCATGGCTTTGTTTCCTGACTCTGAGTTTCTTTTTTACCCTTGCCTGTCTTGTTTGCCCTTCTGATTATTACTGTGTACCTGACTCTGGCTAGTTCTCATTTTCGCTGTCTCTCCGTTACCCTGACCTTGGCTCGTATTTCGACTACGCTTTTCTCTAACGTTAAAGGACCACTGTAGTCACCCAGACCACTTCAGCTCAACCAGGTCCCCCAGGTTTTAACCCTGCAGCTGTAAACATTGCAGTTTCAGAGAAACTGCTTTGTTTACATTGCAGGGTTAATCCAGCCTCTAGTGGATGTCTTCCTGACAGCCGCTAGAGGCGCTACCGCAACGCTCAATGCGAAAATCACATTGACCACTCAGAACGTCCATAGGAAAGCATTGAGTAATGCTTTCCTAAGGGCGGTTTGAATGTGCGCGCGGCTGTACTCGGGAGCTCACGTCGTAGGTGAAGGAATGGTCACCAGCGCCGAGGTAGCCCAGCGCTGGATTAAGGTAAGTGGCTGAAGGGGTTTTAACCCCTGAAGCCCAGCGGTAGGGGGGCCCTGAGGATGGGGAGGACTAAGGACTATATAGTGCCAGGAAAACGAGTTTGTTTTCATGGCACTATAGTGGTCCTTTAAGTCCGGCAACTCTAAGGCCCGGTAAGACATTTATATTTTGTTTGTTTGTTCTTTGCTATCCTAAACTCTGCGTGTTAGTGTTAACACTCAGTGACACCCACAAGAATGAATCTTTTAAAAACTGTGATTTAAATTAAATCCACCTTGGATGTATAATAGTGGTAAATGCTATAAGGCTTTTGGAATCCCAGTGTGCACATGTTTCTTGTTTAGGCTTATATAATATTTGTGGATACACTTTTCAAAAGAGTTAATATTTAGAAAAATACTAACTTTTTTTTTTTTTGTTCATTTTTGACGTGCATCGAAATAGCATGGATATTGTACATATTTAAGAGAATAAACCACATAGAAGGTTACCCATCAAACAACATGAAATATGGCAAATTTTTCAAAGTAAGAATGACGATGAGATTAGCACAATGCATAGAAGTGGTCATAATGCCAGAAGGTAGATCATAACATTTGCACTGGATGCTTAGACAGGTAAGATTAGTTTTAAACAGGCGATATAAGCGGATCTGAAGAGTGGTAGTACACAGGCCCCTGCAATAGGCAGTTGGGAAGTAAGACTCTAGGTAATCAAGTGATCAGATTAAGGGAAATAGGTCAACCTAAAAGTTCAAAACAATTGGCTTAAAACACAAATTTAAATATGATGTGATATAAAAACATTTGAACTGTGGTGAATCTGCTATCAGGAGTCTCCGTTGCTAATCAACCTGTGCCACTCTGGAGTATGCCATAGCCTTGCTTTGGTGAAGGGAACATCAAGGGAAATGTTCCATTTGGAGGCCAATGTAGAAGGCCTCATTCACCCCTCCGTTACAGCAGAGTATGGCCTCTTTGAGTAGAGGCGCAATGAATGATTGTGCCCGCTCTCCAACACGCCGTTGGTGACTTCACCATATTCAGTCTGGACGTGCTGGGCCCTCTTCCCTCTGGTTCATCTTGAGTGAGAGACCCTGAGTACTATGGGTAGTGCTTGCAAGCTGCCAGCTTATTCCAAAAGGCTTAAATAATCCGGGTTAACCGACCTAGCATGTCCCACCCTTCACCGCCAGGGTCGGAAGAGCAGCTACGATTTTGCTTGCCACTCAGTGTCAGCTTCACGTTGATGCCACACACACTCAGCTTTTAAAGGAACCTCTAAGGTGTGGACCAGGATCACCCTCCACCGACCAAAAGGGAATGTGAGCAAGACGGGGCTACAGCTGGCGATTGACTAGGCTTAGGCTGCTCCAGGTGGGAGATCAGCCACCGCTCCCTTTCTCTGTGCACACTAGGCCGCAATATGCTCTGAGCCCTGTTCAAGACCACGTCGGCTACATACATCGCTCTTCGCTGGCAGGTGGGTCGAAGCCAGGCTAGGACTGCTTCAGTGTCGATTTAGGGTGTATTAGGGTCTTGTAGGGACCCAAAAACTTTTATTTTGCTCTGAGCTGTCATAGAACATGTCTTGCAAGCATGGAGGTGAAGCCACTTAGTCACCCAATAATTAAATTTTTTTAGATATGTTGACATATTTTATTTTTTATAGTACTGTAATGTGAAATGCTTATCCACAGAAATTAAATCAAAGCCTTAATAGGAAAAACACACAAGTGTAACTAGATTGCATTTATTTCAGAGGGGTGGAGGGGGCTGTTATTGTTCCCTATTAGGCGCTGTTCCTGAGTGAGATTCAAGTAGTAGAGAAATCTTCCTATGGCTAATAGTTCCCTTCCCGAGATTTCCTAAAATCTGTCAACTTGAGGAAATTCTATAAAAATATTTGTGTAAAAATATATATTTCCATCAGTAAAGCATTCTATGTTCCCTCTAGTGACTGTACTATTTCAATAAATTGACTTTTAAATCTTTTTACCTCTATAACTCTTCTGCTTCTAAAGCTCTGTGCTATATCGGTGCTATAAAAACTAAAATGACAGCATTTGTGGGAGCCTTGGACACCTGTTGGGGTTCCTGACCTATTATTACTTTACATTTGCCAGCCTTCTGAACTGTTCATAATGTACAAAACTTCAGACTAACAGGTTGAAAGCTTTTTAGACTGATTCTGAGGTTTGGAGACACTTGTTACATTTTGAGATTTGTATATATATGTATTTTTTTACTTTTCAGTTATTTTGCTACAACACTCACAGTTCTGCTTTTGGCTATGAGATAATGTTTGCTAATAAAAAGGATCTAGAGTTCAAATGAATACAGTAAGATATTACAGCTGGATGGGACTCATTTTGGGGCTTAGTTTTGTATATTTTATTACAAAGATATGTTTAGTGACAAAGGATGTTTGTTGTCTGTGTAGACTCCCGTTATAAGATTTCTTGGGTCAGTTTCCCAATAAGAATTACATTTGTATTAATAACCGATACATGTTGGTCATTCCTTTGGTCCCTGGGAACCACCAAATAATTCTGGTACCACTGAATAAAATCGATTTATTCTATAGATTAGAAGTAGCCAAAGTGTAATTCTCTAGTTGTGGAACTACAAATCTGTGATGCTTAGCCAGCCACAGAGAAATCCAATTTATTTTGGATTAATACAGAGCATGATGGGATTTGTAGTTCTAGTGCGGATGGATAGCTGCAGGATGTTCAGCTGTTTGTCATAAAATACATTTTGTGTGAAGTCCTCTCTCCTACCTTAGTGAAATTGACTTTTTTTTTTGTAATCGAGGCAGGAAATGAATGGGGTGCTGAAAAGCATGTTGTCTGAGTGGTTCTCCGTGGGATTTCTAAACCTCGAGCGGATAACGTGGCAGTCCCCCTGTGAGCTTCTCCAGAAGATTAGTGAGTAAGTGCATCAAATTGATCAGTGTTCTAAGACTGTCCTGTCTAACAGTCTTTTTCTTAGAGCTTAAATTGTAATGACGCCCTGTCTGATGTGTCCATGCATGTTTTAACAATCTTTACTTTTTAAAACCTGTAACTATGTGTGTGCCAGATGGTAGACGCAGCTCATTCTTCGACCCTCGTAGAGTTAATGTTACAGAAAATGGATTTCATAAAAGTGGGCCCGTCATCCACAAATGGTACCAATGGCAAGTTCACAGTTAGGTAGGTAGGTGTTTGTTTAATCGATTTACAATGTGCTGTTGCAATCGCAGGATTAAGAGACACATCTACCTGGTGACTTACTCTTTCAAGTCTAACCTATACAATATGATGCGAGCAGCATCCCACTCTCCCTAGAATGAGATATAGGGGCCACCCCTCACACTTGGCTATTGTGGCGGCATTCCATGTTGAATTGTAGTTTATGCCATTGGCATTGAGGTAGGGCTTAAAGGACCACTATAGTGCCAGGAAAAAATACTCAGGGACCCCCTCCCGCCCGGCTCTGGAAGGGGGAAAGGGGGAAAAACTTACCTTTTTCCAGCGCTGGGCGGGGAGCTCTCTGCCTCCTCCGATCCAGCCCGTCGGCTGAATGCGCACGCGTAGCAAGAGCTGCGCGCGCGTTCAGCCGGTCGCATAGGAAAGCATTATCAATGCTTTCCTATGGACGCTTGTGTGCTCTCACTGTGATTTTCACAGTGAGAATCACGCATGCGCCTCTAGCGGCTGTCAATGAGACAGCCACTAGAGGCTTTGGGGAAAGGCTTAACCCATTGATAAACATAGCAGTTTCTCTGAAACTGCTATGTTTATAAAACAATGGGTTAACCCTAGAAGGACCTGGCACCCAGACCACTTCATTAAGCTGAAGTGGTCTGGGTGTCTAGAGTGGTCCTTTAAAGGTCTGGGTGCCAGGTCCATCTAGGGTTAACCCTGTAGCTGTAAACATAGCAGTTTCAGAGCAGTTTCTCATTGACAGCCGCTAGAGGTGCTTCTGCGCTTCTCACTGTGAAAATCACTGTGAGAAGATGCTGACGTCCATAGGAAAGCATTGAGGAATGCTTTCCTATGGACTAATTGAATGCGCGCACGGCTCTTGCTGCGCATGCGCATTCAGTGAATGACGTCGGAAGAGGGAGGAGAGTTCCCAGCGCCGAGGGAGCCCAGCGCTGGAGAAAGGTAAGTGTTTAACCCCTTAACCCCTCTTGAGCCTGGCGGCAGGGGCACCCTGAGGGTGGGGGGGGGGGGAAGAAGGACCCTATAGTGCCAGGAAAACTATGGTGGTCCTTTAAAGGCAGGAACAGAATATTTTCTTTTTTTTTAAATTCTTTTCTTCTCTATGTACTTTCTAGTTTGATCATGTATGGGTGAAATTGTGTCCCCTATAAAGTGACCTCAATTATGACATAAACTTTTACGTGTTTGTGTTTTTTTTCCTTTTTTTTTTTTTTTAATTGTATGTATTTATAAAATTTGTATGTTTTTATTTGGGGCCAATACAAACCATTATCCGGAAATCTATTTATTTATAAATAGAACTATACATAGGACACAAGGTCACACCTTTAGACTGGAAGAAAGGAGATTTAGTCTAAGGCAAAGGAAAGGGTTTTGTACAGTGTGAACAATAAGGATGTGGAATTATCTGCCAGAAGAGGTGGTTTTATCATAGTCTGTACAGATGTTTAAACCGCAATTGGATAAATACTTACAAAAACATATTATACCGGGATATCATGTTTAATTAGTGGGGTAATAGCTTCTTGATCCAAGGAGCTATCTGACTGCCATTGTAGGGCCAAGAAGGAATTTTTTTCCTAGTTTGTTGCAAAACTGCTTCACACTGTTTTTTTTTTTTTTTTGCCTTCTTTTGGATCAACAGCAAAAATTTAATGTGAGACAGGTTGAACTTGATGGACATATGTCTCTTTTCAAAATCTGTAAAGTGGTATAAGTAAAACCTACACCTTTAAGTGGAGTGCTAAAATATATGTGCGAAATGGGGTAAACTTACCCCACGTAACCTTGTTACAATCTTTGACTTGTGGTACATATAAAAGATAAAAAATACTATATACCCTCTCATCCACACCCAAAATTTGGGATTTTGGTTTTGGATGAGAGGGTGTTCCACACAAGTGTATAGAGCTACTGCTGTTCATTTATTTTAACACTTTTTGGTACACACATCCCTTTTAAAAGGAGATATATCTTGACATGTCTCTATTCAGCCTATGTAACTATGTAATTATGTCCGTATATGTTTTTGTTTTTTCTACCTAGAATCTGCAGATGCTCTGTTTACAGTCCCATAGGGCTGCATTAAAGTTTGAAACCTTGTAACGGTTATTGAGGTGTTAGTGTGGCTATAGAACATAATGAATTCTGCCTTGACAGGTACGAAGCCGTGCATCCTGTACGGAACTGGACGGACATGAAGCGCAGGGTGGGCCCTTACAGAAGATGCTATGTGTTTGCTCACAGCTCAATGCCGGGGGAGCCCCTCATCGTCTTACATGTTGCTTTGATGCAGCATATTTCCGCCAGTATTCAGGTGATTTGTAACGGGGGTTAGACCAGCTCTGTTGTGCCTTTTCTTGTTTTAGTTTTCTTTTGCTTGTGGCCTTCGTGTTTTAAAGATTTCACTCCCCCATTGTCACTGACCATTATTTATATATGTATTATCTTTTTCTTACTTTTACTTATGTATAACTAAAAATCCAAGATGTATTTCAAAAAAACAAAAATTAAGGAAATATAGGGGGAGAGGGGAATAATAGATTAATTAAAAAGCAACGTGACAAAGCCCATACTGCTATATAAATCTTCTAACCGATTACCAGACGTATGTACCCATGCACATGGAACATGCTAACTGACTTAATAATGGCCAATGTCACATGTTGATGCTCTATATATAATTGTAATCTTTTCTATAGATTTTCACAGTGCCGGTGTTTGGTCTTTTTTTGGACAAGGCAGGGTTAACTAGGCACGTAGGTCTAGTCTTTGGAAAAATCTGTATTCGTCAAGACACACTCATTCAGGATCTTCGAATTTGTTAATGTCTGTGCAAGATGTCTGTCTACGTTTGTGCTGTGAGAAAGAGATTGTGACACAAGAGATTTTAAGAAGAAACAGAAAATGATACTTCCTGAGTCTATATTAAGATAAATGTAATAAGCAGGACCAGACTCAGACAAATATTTGCCTTGGTATTTAAACCTAGAAGGGGACATGTTGTGTCCTCACCAATTCCCCACAATTCACACTTTTCAGTGACAAAAACCTGTGTAAATTATGTAGAGGCAAAACAGCGTTTTGGCAAATAGAATCACCAAATAAAGTATGTGAAGATAGGCTATGCTTTAGCCAATGCCCCGCTTTTATATCTTAGGTGGGAACTGTAGCGGATGGCACCAGGCGACCCTACAAAAATACTGCATAAAGCTGCATCCGTGTATCCGCTGTATTTTCTTTGTATTGAAAAAGAATTGTATTCCTCTGATTGTTCGGTAGTTTCATTCCCTTAGTTTATTCGAATGAAACTACCGAACAACCAGACCTCCCTGTGTGAAGTGTGTCCTCAATTACCCGTTGCAACATTGTTGCGAACGGGTAATTGAACAGTAAGTAGCCGTCCTTTGTTCTCGGGGGTGGCCGCCATTCGACAAACGAACACGTGGCGGCGGCCATTTTAAAACTCCCGAACAGCGGTGTTTTGTCGTCGAGTGCCTGGAACTAAAATCGGACACTCGAGTAGGCGAACACCGCTGAGACCTCCACAGCCCTGGTCCGTTCGGTTCCAAACTACCGAACGGCCCCTCGTTCGGTAAATAGAGAATACCGAACGAGGGGATTCAGGCGAACCCCCCCTAGCCTCTATCGCTAGAGGCTTTCGTGTATTTTATTCCCTTATGCCAGGACCGACCGCAAGGCCATTCACATGGAACCGAATTCGGCTAGCTCTGTTCGTGCGGTCGGTCATTTTATTCCCTCCATACTTTTCCCGAACCCCTGGTCCGATCTGGGTGATTTTTGGATATGTTGTTCACCCAGATCAGGGCTACCCAGGGGATGTATGATTTAAAGGGGTACCCCTACGTTTAGGGGTACATCCAGAAATGGGGGGAATTGGTGTGCTGGCTAAGGGGATTATGATGCTGGCTGAGGGGAGGGGATGTGTGGGAGGTTACCAGGACAGGATTGGCTACTGTAATAATTACTGTAATCCCTCCCTTGCATGGGAGCATGCTTTATAAGGAGACTGTGATTAAAGGCTTGTCAGTTATGCTCCTGAAACTGTGTGTCGTCCAGTTATTGGGATTGCTGTTGGGATATTGCTGTATTTTACCTGCTGGAAACCTTGCCTGTGGATTTACTATTTACTTGTTCCTGAGTCCCACTTGGATTATAAGCGGAGATAACCTGGGTAATATTGCATCTCCGCTACAGGAACCTATTCTGCTGTCATGCATGAGCAGCTAAATTAATCCAGCACCATGCCCGAGCCACGTGTAGGGGTCTCCCACTTCATGAGGATTTGTGTAGTGATACAGGAACTTCTTTGCTTCCCATTCCCACACAGACTTAAAAGCCAGTGCTGTAACTCCACTGAGCCCTCCATTTCCAGCGGACTCTTGATGTGACTGTCCCACAAGGTTGTGGGTGGCTGACGGATATTCTGTCTCGGCTCTCGGACCAGAAGAAGAACAGGGTGTCGGAGCGTCGCTGGAGCCTCTACGGTCTCAGCTGAGGTGAGTATGCACCGTTGCTGGCGGTACTCGATCCAGGTCCAGAAGGCTACACACAAGGCCTCAAATTCCACATGGAACTTGGATTCCCAGCTGAACAGATGCTTGGTTGTAATGGTGGCCATCTTGGATACACCACAAGGGCTTTTGTAGCAAGGTGAGTACGAGTATTGTAGCCGTCTCTGATGGGGACTGGGATATCCCCCACTGGTGTGGGGGGAGTGGAGGGGGAGGTAACGTCACAGGTTGGAGGCTACAGCTAGCAACACTCTTTGGCATGGGAGATCAGCCGCCTCCCCCAGTCGCCTGAAGCACTAGACTGCAGGTTCCAAACAAGGTGTCACGACCGCACTTACCTGTAGGTCCCCTACCGCGTTTCCGCCCGCGGTTACAGCGGTTTCCCTTCAGGGTACGCCGAGCACCAATACCGGCACAGGCATTGATAAGGCCAGTTTGTGGCTTTACCTTGAGGTTTCCCACATCACTGAATGGCAATTCAGCCGTGATTATAGATGCTCTGAGCCGGAGCTAGGTGAAAATGCGTCGGGACATCTTCAGCCCCCTGTTTCTGCAATTCTTTATTTATAAGAGTGCTAATTTTCAAATAAAAAGGAGTACTTTTATAAACTGCAATTAAAATAAGCATATCCTCAGACATAAAGCATTTCAGTAAGCTGTATGTAGCGTGTTCCTTTAACCCCTTAAGGACCAAACTTCTGGAATAAAAGGGAATCATGACGTCACACGTCATGTGTCCTTAAGGGGTTAAACAGGTTGGATTTGAGACCTGATTCTTTGGGTGATTGGTAGAGATTGATCTTTGTTTCACAAATTGTTGTACAAATAAGTTCTTTATTTTATTTTTTTCTACAATTAAAAAACTGGAGAACATTAATGATCATGACTACTTTGTTAAATATTTTTTCTCTGTGGTAGGATATATTATTGCCGACTACTAAGGTATTGCAAGCTCGCTCGGCAATGTAAAAGTTAAGCTGTAGAGATTGAAAAGAAGCCGTCAATAAGTATTGCAATCATATCTGCGGGGAGTCCATGAATACAGAGCGTTGCCGAAGCCTCTGACTTAATAAGAAAGCCGGGCCTTTTAAAGTCATGAAAGAAAAGTGCTCTTAATTTGCTGTTCAGAGTTTTTCTCTCACTCAAAGTGTCAGTGAGTCAGGAGTTGGCCCCATCGCGGAGCCCTGCTGAGCCCAACCGAGATCTGCACAACAGATAAAAAGGGACACGCATTTCATTATTATAGAGGTCTCGCTTCTTCAGAGAATGAAAGAATGGAGGATCTCGCCTAGGTGTATGTTAATTTTGAATATCAAATTAGTTACAAAGAATGATGGCTACGGTAATTCACAAGGCGTGGCGGCAGGGAGCCTCGTTAATCTCTGAATGTATGTTTGCAAGATATCCTCATATAACAATGCAGAGATAATGACAGAACCCGGGATGTCTAATGTGGGCACACCCAAGTGGTTGGGAACTACCTTTCCCATGAACCTCTACCATCCTAACTCCAGAGGAAGGTCAGTAAACTGGAACATCTCTAAATATGTACAGACATATTCCCCTTCTAAATACTGATATTTGTGACTGTGACCTGAATATTACCAGCTCCAGTACTCTGTAGACTCCACTTAAAGTGAAATAGATTTATTAAATACGAAAGTATGTGTATCTGGTATGAGAAGTGTCTAACATGCACGGCTATTTAAAAATGTCGGCACTGTTCTAGTGACTGTCTTTTTTGTTGGTTTTTTTTTTTGCCGTTTTTTAATTTTCTGCTTTTGTTTTTTGTTTACAGGCAATAGTTAAGGAAATCCCGCCATCTGAGCTTGAAGATGGAAACAAGATCAAGTCAGCCATCTTTTATTCCATAAGTCTAACTCAGCAGGGACTGCAGGGGGTGGAACTCGGCACGTACCTCATCAAACGTGTTGTGAAGGAGCTGCAGGTCTGTGTGACAGAAAAAGCGTGTAATGTATAGATGTGTAACTCTCAGGAGATTTGTCCTGTGTAACCCCAATCTTATGAGAGAATTGTAACATCCTTTAATTTAATGCAAAGATTTATTTTATTACCCATCACGTGTCTGAACCTAGATGCTCCCGCTTGGTATGTGCGGAGCCTTGGCGCTCGCAGGAGGTATGCGCTTAACGTTGCAGTTTGTGGGCGGTATGCACGCAACTAGCCCTGTAGGTACTGACCTTGACTCTCTCGCCTGAGGGAGGGAGCGGAACCTTGACACTCTAGCCTGGTGTGCGCAGAACCTTGGCACTCGCGCCCCGTATACGCAGAACCTATGATTCTTAGGTTGCTAACGCACACTGTCTTTTGCTGGTAGACTTATTTTTTTGTAATTAAAAAAAAAAAAAAAACATTTTTCATAGGTCTTCCTATACAGTGTGACTATTTCTCTGTGTTTTATGTGCACTGAATATTTTGGGGTACAGTAAGCCCACTTTCATGTAATTCGACTAAACAGGCAGGGTGCGATATTTCAGTATGTTTATGAAAGCTCTCCTGGCGATGCACAATAGTTATTCAGCCATCCTGACATGTTAACGTTTTGGATTTGCTTTGAACTCCTAATGCTTTAAATTCACAATGCTCTGTGCTTACTGCTGAATAGAACTGCCGTATGGGCTCTTAACATGGCCACAGGAATTCGCAAGAAATAATAGCAATTCTTCCCATGCTCAATTTAGCCTATTACATCATTTAATAAATGCGTTTGTAATATTTTTTTACCCCATTATTTAACAAAGCACCATTATTGCTGTCTGCAGAACATATTTTTTTTTATTACATTTGTAGTTTTCTGTTTACAAAAAAAAAAAACAACGAAAAGCCAATTTTCCACATTATTGTTTAGTCCAAGTCTTTAATGTATTAAGTTAGACTCTGTGCATTAGTGGCTCTTACAATTCAGCGTTACACTTAGTGAGCTTCGGCAACGCAAGCCATGTGTTTTTCAGCTCCGGCTCTCTTTGTATCCGAGAACTGAGACATGCTGAAATAAAAAGAGCTGTTGCTATTTGTCAGGAACATTCAAAATAAGTGCTTGTCCTGTCATTTCACCAAGCAATGTCAGAAAAATTGAAAAATCTTTTTAAAAGGCTTTTTTCATGAAATACTCCATTCATCCCACATACATCGGAATGTAATGGATTTTAAAGTCAAAATCACAATGGACAATAATTTGTTTTTCTTTTTTGTTTTTTTCATATATACAAAAAACAAAAAATAGTTAATGTTCTTGCTTAGAGATTCCCTGCTGGTGAATGTGGGTAGGATTTGGGCTAAAGGGTTATGATTATGTACCAAGGAGAAGGGTGGTTCACAGTCCCTTGTGTAAGTGTTCAGTGTGCTGTTAAGTTAGAAAATAAGGTATTTGAGAATTTCCTAGAATATCCAAACTTGCCACATAAATATTTCAGATATGACCGTGTTTCTTTAGTGTGGCTATTTTTTAACACTGTATGTATTGATTTATAGAATTTTTGCTTTTTTCCCCCCTTCATAATGTCTACATATTCTGATAGTTCACAATGTTTATTCGAATTATTAAATATTCCATTGTAACCGTGCTTGGTATTAATCTAGTATTAATGTACAGTCACCCATGTATCAGACTAACGTTATTGTATATGCTGATGACCGATATAATTAATAAGAACTCTCTGGAACAAAAAAGTAATTTAGTTATCTAGTTTTTGAACTTATCGGATTAATGTATCATGGCTAAATTGAAGAAGTAAATATTAACAGTTTTATATTTAATATAACAAAAAGGTTTTCAGTTTTTAGTTACACCGGTTATTTTTTAAATCAATGTAATCGCTCACTGACAGTAGAGAGCCTGGAGGGGGGATTAGACTTCTGCTGCTTAGTAGATATTAATATATGCTAGAACATATGAAAAGTTAATTTCTTGTGATAATTTGCCCTAAGCCTTGTGCGTCAGAACATTATGGTTGTGTTGTCTGAACTGTCAGTGTTGTTCTATATTCTACTGCAAGTTCTCCCAGCTGATAACATCTCGCAGTGAAATGAGGGACCCCTAAAAACCAAAAGGCGGCAGGCTGCTAAAAAATAAACAAATATAGGTGTGTGTCCATGTAATAAAACACATAACCGATTTAACATAATACTAAACCGTCAAAACCACAGTATCCTAAAGGATAATATACTTCTAAATAATGGAGTGGGTAATAAGTGTGATTGCTGTAGATGGTGCGTCCTCCAAAAATAGTGTAATCCGCACTAGCTATCAACAAATAATATGTGATAAATTTCTGTGCTAGTCCCTCTGCGGCAGCAAGTTTGAACCATTAATTTCTGCCCTGAATCTGAAATAATTGGGATGTAAATAGCATCGAGGCACTCTGCTTTGTATACCGCTCGGAAATGTGGAGCACATTTTTATTTTTTTTATTTTTAAAAAGCTACTAACTAGAAATACTTCTCTTTTAGACGAGATTACTGTAAAAGGAGAGAGGGCCGTTTGCGATCCTGCTTTATATACCAACATGCAGGGTAGAAAATGAGCCGCTCTTGCTGATCCTGATAGCTGATTTTCTGCCGGGGTCTTCTCATTATTTCATATTTTACCTGAAATTCATGTAAGCAGCATGCAGTGTCTCTTGGTGATAAAGAAAAGCAGATTCTATGTGCTTTTTCAAATTCAATTGTGGCCACACTCTGCTTTTGCCATGATCATTAAAAATCCCAGTAAGAGCTTGTGTGATGTCCTAAGGTTGTTCAGTCTCAGGAAGTCCTTTAATTGTGACATAATTACTGCTCCCTCTCATTCTATGTCCTCCACTTCAATGTAGATTTTCTATGGAGCTTGTCTGAATTGTTAAGTGCTTTTGAGAGTTTTGTTGACTATGGCATATTCATTGTTCATTCTCTTCTATTCTCACAATCCTATTCTATTCTACCTCCTTCGCTAGATTTCTTCTTTAAAGACAACCGTTCACCTGCTGGCTTTTAATAAGCTAAAACCGACTAATTGTTGTGAATTATTATTTATTATTTTTTTAGCTTTGTTTAAAGTTTACTTATTACAGGTTGTACTATGTTGAATATTCACAAAAGTACCAGCAGACATACACAGGAAGCTGAATCCGATATACCGGTACATACATTTGAGTGCTTACAAAAAAATAAGAAAAAAAATATGTAGGTAGTTCTATAACATATATGAAAAAATCGAAACAAAACCAAAAAAAGAAAATACCCAGTTATAAAAAAACAAAACAAAAAACATCCCCCAACAATGACCTGAAAAGTACATTATTTTGATATTGGTTTCATCTCATTCTCTTTCGTAATATGACTTCAACAAAGATCGGTTCCATTTTTATATCAAGTTACAGAAGAAATCTAGATACTTTTCAAAAGGTTCACAAAGTTAAATTTCATTGCGTAGTTTAGCTTTCTATAACTCCCAGAATCCCTTGCTGTGCCTATAAAGCCACGCTAATGCAGTAAGCCCAATAGTAATTTAGAAAGTTAACAGAGCGAGAAGATTGGCTGAGGCATTTCCTGGTTTGATGAGAACTAACTGTATAAACTTAACATTGAATGTCTTTCCAACTAATATTTTTTTCATTTACAATATCATGCGTTATCTGGAGTGTCTATTTAATGATCGGTATAAAACAGTTAATTTCATTGGAAAAATTCTAAAACTCTGTCAGTCATATGGCCCCCAGGGAACCGGACAGCTCTTATTTGGAACCTCAGTCAATGTAGCAAATAACTTCACTAGAGCGACAGACAATCCATAGAACTTCACACCAAGTGGCCTGCACTCTGCCGCATAGATTAATTACATACATATTCCTGGAAGTAATTAAAGGAATTGTAATTTAAAGGAAATCAATCCGAATTCATTTTGTTTAAGGTTTGTTTATCTAGACGTTTCCTGTAATCTGCCTGTGGAGAGCACTTCCTCTCGCTAATAATGCTGTGCTGTGTAGACTGCGTTGCCGTATACACTGCACTTGACAATCATCTCCACTATAGAAGCATCTATTTAAATTTAGAGAGAAACACAATCGGTCCAGTCTTGGACAATTTTTTTTATTTTCTACAAGTCTGAAGTTGAGGATGTGTTTGCTATTGAGGGTCAAGGAGTGCATTGGGTTGGCAGTGTTCCCCTTGTGGGTTTGCTTGTGCTTTGCCAGACAGAATGTTGGCTTTGCGTCTTTCCTGAGACTGTGTAATACTCTTTCACTAATGTTAATCATGAGGCTGTCACCCCTCCTTCCACCTTTGCCCTTAAAGGACCACTATAGTGCCAGGAAAACATACTTGTTTTTCTGGCACTATAGTGCCCTGAGGATGCCCCCACCCTCAGGGTCCCCCTTCTGCCGGGCTTGATGGCGAGGAAAGGGTTAAATCTTACCTTTTTTTCCAGCGCCAGGCGGGGAGCTCTCCTCCTCCTCCTCTCCGCCTCCTCTCCTCTCCTCTTCGGCTGAGTGCGCATGCGCGGCAGGAGCTGCGCGCGCATTCAGCCAGTCTCATAGGAAAGCATTCGTAATGCTTTCCTATGGACGCTGGCATCTTCTCACTGTGATTTTCACGGTGAGAAGCACGCAAATGCCTCTAGCGGCTGTCAATGAGACAGCCACTAGAGGCTTTAGATGCTGGATTAACCCATTTATAAACATAGCAGTTTCTCTGAAACTGCTATGTTTATAAAAAAAAGGGTTAATCCTAGAGGGACCTTGCACCCAGACCACTTCATTAAGCTGAAGTGGTCTGGGTGCCTAGAGTGGTCCTTTAAGGCTACTAGACCCTTTATGAATAAAATCTTTCCACCGACTGGCTTAACTGGCTTCTTCCCGGTCTCTAACAGACAGGATCACTGCTTATTGCACTCGAGCGGTGGCTACCTTATGGGCCGTTTCACTTTATGGCTTCTGTAAATAAAAATTCTATAGGGCAGCCACTAGATTGTCATTTTATATATATTTTTTAAATGTTTGCATCCATGCCGTTCTTGGCAGCGAGGTTACATTCAGTCATCGACTCTATCCGCACTATGTTTTGAGGTGGCCTGTATGCCCTGTACTGTCTGTGTTTTAAAATAACGTATGTCTCATCACCCAAGGAAAACAACGTTTGGGGGGTGACGGGCGCCCATGTGTGCTTGTGCCTCGTCTTGTACTTCTGCTTGGCTATACCTAGAATCGAAGATTCTAAAGGGATATCTTCAGAAGGAGGAGCATTCTGAAGGGATGCATTATGGGTATTTCTACCGCCTCCTATTCAGGGAAGCCTTTTCCCATATATCACAACTCCTAGACTCTCACTACATGTAAGACACAATTTTAGTTGTTTACATCCTCTTTGCTGGTATAATCTCAGTCCAACATAGTGCACCTAAAGATAATACAGTCATCTCTCTCTTCTCCAGACTATCCGTATGTACAAATGAGTAAATCTAGTCTTGAGATAATGATCCAATTGGTTATTTTCTCCCATTACAATCAGTGATTGTAAAAGTGTGTCTCCCCTGGTGGCCATAAGGATTTCCAAACTCCATTTTCCCTGCACATTACCACTGCCTACAGGGTGATACAGCCCCATTTAAGACTCCGCTGTGACTGTGTCCTTATTCACGTCAATAAAAAAATAAAAAGGGCTAGCTGATATTACCATACAGCTGTTTGTTATTGGAGTATTTCTCTGTTAGTGATGTGGATATATGGTACAGCATTTTCTAGGTTCTTTAGCCCTGACTAAATCTTTGACGAGTAAGAAATTCAGCAAATTTCCGCCGTGCCTTCTCCAACCAGGGGTAGGAAAATGGGGGGGACAGGGTCAGTGCTTCAGAAGAGTTTCATTTTAAGCAGGAAAATCTTTTGATTTGAGGATTTGTCTCTCTAGCATTCATATACAGTAAGAGGTTTGATGTACGTTGGCCAGTGTTATCGGATGGATGATTTCTTCCCAAATGAATGTAAGTGTTGATAAGATTCTTTCACTGTGCGAGACAATCTATCTACCCAATGCTTATCTGTTGGGAACAGGAGAGATATGTTCTGTCTAGAAGCTATAGAAATAGATTTTGATTCTTTGCAGTAACAAATGATTTTTTTTTTTTTCCTTTTGAATCTAGTTTTTGCAGTGCTGAGCTAACACTTAAATGTTTCCTTCATATTGGCGTAAAGCCCCCTTCAACCTGTCTATCATGTACCTCTACAATGAATAGGAAAGTTGTCAAATGTAATTTTTCTTCCTGCTGTGTTTGTGACCTAAACCTGATCTCATAAACCCCTCTTTTCATAAACACAAACTCCGATCCACGTCTGTAAAGCACGCAGCTCTCTGCTTTTCTACGTAGATCTTCAGTTTTAGGTTTTTAGTTTGTAGGTTTATTAAAGGGGGACCGCAAGCCGGGTTGGACTAATTATTATTTATTATTATTTATTATCATTGTATAGATATGTTGAGAAAATATATGTAAAAACAGGAAAAAAATTACAAATGATAAAAAAAAAAAAAAAAATGTGTTTTTCATTTAAAATCCCTGCCTTTCTAGGAAAATTCCAGGTTTTGCAGGATGTGCTATGATGAGCTTCCTCTAAACCAGGAAGTGGTTGATGCCTCGTTTATTTCCACTGCTGAGATTTTTTTTTTCCCCCATGCATTGTTTTATGCATTGTGAACTTCAAAAACCAGAAACCCAGGTCACAGCATTATATACACTAGAGTGAGTGCAAGCTTACAGGGCAAAAAAACAATTACCCTTGTTCCTTTTGAATTCTAAATTTGTTTATCATCAGCGTCTTGCATATGGTGTGTTTATACATATAGGTTAGGCAGTAAATCCTTTCTGTTGCTGTCCGTGGTGCTGAATCCCACAATGAACACTGTGCTCTAGTAAAGGCAAACAAATCGCATATTACGCCTAAAACCCTTTAAAATTATACAGACACATCGCATGGCTGATCTGTTTGAATGACCTTGAAATTCTGACTGAATGTGCTTAAGGTATTTTGTGCAAATTATATATCTGTATACACTGTACATATGTAGGTAGGATTTTATATAAATATTTATTACCTCATTATTTTGTTGTCTTAATTAAGCTACAGAGACATGAAAACAGTATTTTAAAAGAGATAGTATCAAACGTGACATTAGTTTATCACATGGCGTCGGTGTATGTAATTAGAGAGCAGAAATTGCAGGCTTTATTTACTAAACAGTGCATTACATAGCACTCAATAGTAAGGTGAAAAATTAAGTAAAAATCGTTTTTATGCCCACCCCACTCCCCAGCTACTACTCACTACTGTGAGTAGTAGTTGTTGGTGCTACTGTGGACTCTGAGACCTGGAGTTTTTAAGCCCATATGGGTGTTCTGAAACTTTGGAGCCTGCAGCCTACCCGGGAGAGGAGCAGGGCAGACTGCCACTGCCCTGCTCATTAGCCTGGCTGCCATACAATAGCTCTTTGACACAGCTCACAGGCCCTGTTTCCTTCCCTCCCTGCATGGACTGGTGGGGGTTACCCCATTCCCCCTGGAGGGTGCCGACACCAGTACACATTACCTGCAAGCCCACCTAGCAATCGGACACCCGCAACAGACCAACAAAATGGCAACTATGCGGCCTACAATGGGCAAAGCCACGCTGCTTGTTCATGGATGCATTTTTGAGCTATGGTATCAGCTGGCTACTGTTCCTATTACTGGACTTCTATGGCGCAAGCCGAGCCTTTGTACCGGATGATTGAGAATGGTCCCTGCGCCTGCTTTGAGCCCCCAGAGGTTATCCCTTGAACCACTGCCCTAAGCCCTGGCGGAACACCATATCCAGGACCTCCCGTTGTTGGCCCCAAATTGCGCCGGAACCGAGGGCACAGGTTGAAGGCTCATGTTGTGCCTGGGGATGGCGGAGTGGCACCCACCAGATTCCCCTTCATGCCGGGACTCTGATGTTAACGTACCCAAGCAGGAGGAGGGAATAGGCTGAGCCCAGAGGATTCAGCAGACTTACCTGCACGCCATCACCACCAGTCTCCTGGAGCTGAGCCCAAAGGCTTTGCAGCATTCCATGCAGGAATCCAGCGGTTTCTACTCAGTTTCACTATGTTTGTTTACTAGCTATTACCTCTTACTATTGAATTAGCAATGTACAAGATGTTATTTTGACTATACAATGCACATCAAAAAATAATAATAATAAAAAAAATAATATATATATATATATAAATTAATATTATTGCAATCATATTTGATCAGTTACCAGGAATTTTTAATTTTATTTAGTTGAATCACTTAAAACTGTTTGCACCATAGTTCTAGGTTCCATAAGCCGGTTGTGAATGCATTGCACACTGATCCTACAGCACTACTGCTACTGTCAGATCATTTGTTCTGGGATACATTTAAAATCCTAATCATTAATATAAATTCTGCTTTCGAATGAAAGAGTTTGAGCCACGCAGACAGAGGCCTTCTAAGGTGAAATAAAGCTTCTCTTTGCTAGAAAATACCTTTTTTGTAAGTATTTGCAGGAAGTGCAAAGAATCCATAGGTGGGGATTATACCACCTGAGCGCCTTCACTGAGCAGTTTTGAGTCTGCTCTACTTTACGTGAGTAGTATACTTTACTTTCTTTTAATTTTATTACATACAGTGAGCACTATATATTTTATTTCATTTTTTCCTCTGGGTCGTATCACGTCAAATTGAACGCTGAACCCACGTCAGATATTCAACAATCAACATTTACTCCATATATCCTTGAAGTGGGGATTATTCCACTTTACGCGAGCAATATCAGAGCTGATCCTAGCTCTGAAAAGTGTGAGTAAGACTGATTTTATACCTTTATATTTATTTTATACACCGATTTACTGTGCCATTGGAGTCCTGTTTTTATTTTTCTCTCCACATATGCTGAATTCTCAACATTTGAAGATACAATCCCACCTACACCCTAAAGAATATTCCTTTACAAGTGGGACCTACCCTCACGGACTGTGATAAGCCTATTTTATTGGACTATTGTTTTATTACTTATTTTATTCTGTATTTTATCTGACTAATTTAGTCTTTTATTTTATCAAGTTTTAGGCGCATCCTTATATCTATGTTTGTTCTTGCTATCTGTTATCATTAGGGGATTATTGGGGACTCCCCTTTGAGGATTGCTGCCTTTCTTATAATTTTATTGTGGCAATTTAGCGCTGTTTTCCTTCTCTTTTTCCAATAATCCTTTCCGGTTTGTATGTTCTTACGTTTTATATGTTGGAGTTTTTCTGTTTAATGTTTTTTTTAAATGAAATTTAACAGAACTTGGTAAATAGTCAGCAACCATCACCAATACAGTTACCAGTTTCATCTGCAGCAGTGGTTTATATGGTAGGTAGTAACTGGGTCTGTTTTAGTATAACTCAAATACCCATGATGCATCAGGATCCAGGTAAGTTGTTGATCTAAAACAGCTGGAAAATCTACCTTCTGGCCAGGCCTGGTAATCTGTGTACAAAATGTAAATGCAAGGTGAAGGCAAGCAGGACCCTTATGTAATGTAAGGATGTAAGGGATGAAAAGATTACAAACCCTGGGGGGCGGAGCCAGCACACGAGCTAACCGGCCGCATCTTCAGACCGCTCCGTGCGACACGCTAAATTAACTCGCCCAGAGCCATAATCCCTGCACACACTGGGCCCCTAAACCGGTTCACAGCTTACCGACAATATGGGGAAGAAGAGCAAGAAGCAGAGGGATGATCCGGGCACGGGATTCGGAGATATAGGGGCTTTTCTTCGAGCCACGTCGCAGCCTGCTGAGTCCAAGATGGCACCCAAGATCTATGCCTCACAATCCTCGGACGAGGATAGCTACTTTGCAGAGCCTGCACTGCTGACCCGCACGCAACAACTGCCACAGAGACCCGTGGACATGGGGAACGCTGCTCCAGCCACTTTGGCGGATATCAAAGCTTTGGTGAAGGACATTCAGGCCATGTTCCAAGCGGACATGGCGCTGGTAAGGGCAGACGTAGCCACACTCACCAATAAAGTGGCAAATGTGGAGGTGGGCCTGGGGGACACTAAACTAGCGCAAAGTGCCACGGATGCGGCGCTGAGCTTACTCCGCAAGCAATACGCGGACCAACAAGCCCAACTGGCTGGCATGGAGGACCGGTACAAGGCAAGAAACCTGCGGGTTCGTGGAGTGCCGAAGACACTCACCGGCTCGGAATTGCCACACTACTTACGCCACGACAAGCTAAGTTGATCACAATAGACTCTTGTTTCAGACTCACCAGGGCGGCCTCCACACCACGCGAAGGAGCCGTTGACGTACTGATTAAATTTATACGGGACTCTGACAGGGGCATGATTATGGGGGCTACAAGAGGCTCCCCCACGGTGGCGTTTGAAGGGGCACAACTGACGTTCTATAAAGACTTCTCAAGGCACACCATGATGTGGAGGAAGTCCTTTCGCCCGGTCACCCAGCTACTCCGGGAACAAGCCATCCCCTACAAATGGGGCCCACACCGACTACAGGCAGAAAAGGCGGGCGAAACACATAAGCTATCCCACGCATCTGACATACCAGCCTTCCTGCAGGCACTGTGCCTTCCAGCGCTAACAACACAGCAGCTGACCCGTCCAACATGGACTGTAGCGGAGATTACCCTGTTCGTGCCTAGAAGAGAGGCTCAGAAAACCACTGCCCTACCAAACTAAAGCAGCAGCAGAGCAGGGCCCACACGCCCTTTACCTGTTGCACCTGACAGGAGACATACCTGATCCGTTCCACGTTTGTTATTTCCAATGCTGTTGCTGTTGGTTTCTGTTTTTATTCTCTTTTTTCTCTCCACCATATGCTGCTTTTTTAAACTATGCTCTTCCCAAACCCACACAATACTGGCTCCGTAAGCGTTCGAATAATACTACGCATTAAGCCACTTTCACCCCCCCCCCCCATTACACCCAGAGTGCGTAACACAGCTCGAAATATACCGCTCACTACCTGCTGCACTCTCAGGTAGCAACTTAGTCAACCACACCCAGCTACGACACACATACCTATCCGAGCTCACCTAACTAAGGTCCCACGCTCAACACACTCACATTTAGAGGTGCCTTAATTCCTACTACAAGTCATACCCCGACACTAAGCATGCAGGCACTTAATGCTATACAACGCCTTTAATACACAAAAAAGATGCCGACAATTTTCGGAGATGGTGTATAGTGAACTGTGATTCCCCATCCTGTATGACTTTTTATTGTCTCCCTTTCTTTATTCTGTACCCGTAAATTTTATGCCTCAATAAAAGAAAAATTAAAAAAAAAAAAAAAAAGCTTACAAACCCTATGAAATTAGTATGGATGATCCTCAAGATTATTTAAATCTAACTGGGGGGAAAACGGCAGTATTGGCTGTTTGTAAATCCCATTTCGTAAAGGCGTAATGGTTTTTTCCCCCCAGTAAAGTCTGAGCACAGTGTGCATTGATCCATGCCTTCTGTGACAAGGTGTGTGAAGTCTCTTTAAAATCCTAAACGGTATCTTTACTCCACTCCGTAATGAGACGTGTCATCACTCAGCTAAACTTTGTGCACTCTGTTCGGCTGTTAATTTGTGTAATTACATCCTCTCCCTAGTTTGTATCAGCCTAATTAATTTGCATCCTCCATCAAGATAGGGAGAAAGGTGACTGCATAGATAATCCTTCGAGATCACTAATTGCTGCAGAACCGAGGTTGCATTGTTAGAGAAATGCGACTAGAGAGTCTCTTATAATAAAAAAGTGCTTTCTTTTATTTTGGAAAGGGAGTCGTCATCATTTTCTACGAATATATTCATATATATCGGTGGGTGTAAATAGCACTGAATTCTATTCTGCTTAGTATATGTTCCACTATCAATGTATTTCTAGTTAACACTCCTGTTTGTGGGGGCTTACAAATTCCCCAAATCAGTGATAGGCAGGAAGAATCATTTCTAGAGCCTGATTAGAGTTCCCATTTACTTCAGTGAGCATAGATTGTTTCAGCTGAACCCCGCAATGAACTCAGCCAGAGTCTGTTACAGCTGATTGGGAAATCTGTCCCAGTTAAGGTTGTAGTTTACTTTATGCAATTTGTTTTTGGTGTGTGTGTGTGTGTGTGTGTGTGTGTGTGTGTGTTGGGGGGGAGGGATGGGAGGTTGTAGTATATCTGTGTGTTGGAGAGGCTCCATGTGGAACTGTGTGCATATATGTCTCTCTCACACACACACACACACACACACACCAATGCTTAGTGCCAGAGTTTAGTGAGTTTATCGTGTTTGGATTTATAAAGAAAACAGTATAGCAAATTAATTTCCTATATCCTTAGGCACGTCAATTATTTATCTGATTTTATGTTGGAACGGAGAGGATGAATTCTTCCCTAATGGGGAAGGGGGTGTAAACTGTTTAAACTTTCTCAGAATAAGAGCTGCATTTCTTCTAACCGATTCTATGCTTTATGTACTTATTAATAAATGAGTCAGATCTATTCGAAATGAAGTCACTTTCCATGATGCTGATTCTAGAATTCCTTTATATAAACATTTCTGTGTCTAGACGTTCTCTGATATACAGTGGATGTAGAGATGACATTTAAAATCCTTTTGTCAGTCTGTAGATATTTGTTGTACGTTTTGTTATTTTTTTATATGAAGAGTGTAATAAGCTATTGTTCAATCCCCATTTTTCTCTAATGGTTTCTAAAAACAAATGTGCACGTTCAGGACGTGTTCTATCGTCGGTCCATACATCCTACATTGTCTTGGGAACGGTCTATTCTCCTATGGGTGCTCCAAGCCGGTGGTGTGTGCATGGTAGACGGTGTGTTGGCAGCCTTCCTCTTTTGCTTTGTATCAAGGAAACAGAAGGTGCAAAAAATATATATATATTTTTTTAAATTTTCTTCATAAAAATGGAAATTCAATTATCACTTCTAAAGGAGGAAGCATTAACTTTTTTTCAAAGCCGTTAAGATATATTTTTAATGAAAAACTCATTTCAAACTGCTGTTTCTGCAGCTGCCAAACATGTAATTGATATAATCGTTGTCTATTTCGGGACGTAGTGTTTAGTTAAAGTTCCTAGTTGTGTGAGTCAAACCTTGCTGACTGTACAAATTGTTATCATTTATGTTCCGTCTTCATGTAGAGATTTGTCTGTATTGTCATGTTTAAATATATCTTCCCCTCTCCCACCTGCACCTTAAAGTGATTGTTTATGTAATTCATTTACTTTCTTTATTTGTGTCCTCTTGGTTATTGGTGCTTTTTATGTTGAATCTTTTGTAGTTATAGTTTACATTATTTAATTTATCAATATATACAACATACGGTTAGAATGGCATTTGGATAACAGAGCATTGTCGGTGAGAATATATAGATATGTGTGTGTGTGTGTATATTTATGTGTGTGTGTGTGTGTATATATATATATAACCAAGAGGGCTGAAATCGCCTGAACATGCATACATTATAGGGTGCTGCTGGGGTCAATATATACAACATACAAAATACAGAATCCAGCGCAGTCGCTTATTCACTAAACAATGATTTAAAATCTCACAGATTGTAATAGTTTTATTTAAAAACACCTCACCTAGGCAAAAAATAATGGGGGTTTAGCTACATTATATGATCAAATATTGCATAAGCCTGGCCAGGGGGTCTTGTCCTTATATGGCTAGAGTTATACTCTGACGTCAGCATGGGCACATCTATATAGTAACCGAACAAAGGGACATGGCTCTTTTTCCTGTTCAGCTATGTAACGATAACTATCCCTTCAGGAGTCCAGCAATTACCATCTGCTGTTTAACATCCTTTGTTATTTTATTATGTATCAGTAACTCTAAGTGTAAACCTGAAGAAACCGTAACTCAGATTGTGTATTAGTACTTTTCAGTAATAGAGACATATATTAATGTGGAGACCCAAGACATAAATATAAAATAATTATTCCAATCAACCGGAAAAAGACACAGATGAAACCAAGATATTACACAGAATAACTTATTATATCTTTTAATCTTTCAATCTAGCTGGTAGAATTTTCCTGAGCAGTTTTGTAAATTGCTGTTCTTTGTGTGTCGATGAAACATATAGGCCTGCAGATCGTCTTTTTGGAAAACAATTAACCAAGAGGCAGCTTCTACTTACATCTAACACATTGCTCTACAGCGGTGTTTACACTACAATCAGCCCGTGCTGGCTGGCTAGGAATCTTAAGAGTTGTTGTTTGGATACAGACTGAAGACTGCTTGTTTAGAAGCACTATCCAAAAGTCTGTTTACTCACACACCCTGACCTCACAGCAGCAAAAAACATTGTGTGCAAGGTATGTGGGTCAACAGAGGTGCAAGATTTGCAGAAATGTTTATTGTACATGTAACATGGCATGAACAAATACAAACAATGGTTAGAATTACAGCATAATGTCTTGGATATAATGTATGTTAGACAGTTTACCAGATCACTTGGGACAATTAACCATGGCTTTTAATAATTTCAACTGCTCACTGTTCGTGGTTTTATGACTGATGGGAGATACAGTCAAACAGCATTAAAGGATCACTATAGGCTCAGGAACCCAAACATGTATTCCTGACTCTATAGTGTTAAAACCACCATCTAGCCCCCCTGGGCCCCTCGTGCCTCCATAAATATAGCAAAATCTTACTGAATTCAAGCCTGAAGCTGTAACTCTGCATGCTGTTTGCCTCAAAAAACAAGCAGTCTGCTGACATAATCAGAAGTGGTAGCCTGATCCAATCACAGTGCTTCCCCATAGGATTGGCTGAGACTGACAAGGAGGCAGATCAGGGGCAGAGCCAGCATGATTCAAACACAGCCCTGGCCAATCAGCATCTCCTCATAGAGATGACTTGAATCAATGTATCTCTATGAGGAAAGTTCAGTGTCTGCATGCAGAGGGAGTTGATACTGAATGTTTGGATGCATTTTAGGCAGCCATGACCCAAGAAGGATCTCTAACAGCCATCTGAGGAGTGGCCAGTGAAGTTATCACTAGGCTGTAATGTAAACACTGCATTTTCTCTGAAAAGACAGTGTTTACAGCAAAAAGCCTGAAGGTAATGAATCTACTCACCAGAACAAATTCAATAAGCTGTAGTTGTTCTGGTGATTATAGCGTCCCTTTAATGGGGACCAAAGCTGGTGTCACACAAACTTAACAATGTAAACATTGGAACACCGCCATTATCTCTGTGTCCGCCTGTCTATTTATTATATCAGTATGTCATGTTAGTTTAACAGAGAATGGAAGCAGAATCTTTAAGCTTGGACTTTCCAATGACTTTCCAGGAGTACAAGTGTGCTTTGTATGACTCGTTACAGTTACATGAAAATATTCATACAAAGGCTTTTAAACAGTCTTTTGTTCTGGGAGATTGTTCTGGCATGTTCTCTTCTTCACAGATGAGCTATTTCCAAAGCTGCATGAATGGTGGGTGGCTACTTACAACATTCAAATTACTATGGGAGAGACTCTCTCCTCATTTTTAAGAATTGAATTCATTATCTGTATGGTTCCATCAAAATTCTTACTATAACAACTTAAATCATTAAATATAATACGACTTTATTAATTTAAAAAAAAAAAAATCTCAATATCAAACAGAAACCAAAATAGACAAAGTCACAGAAATAAAGGCAAACAATAATACAATAGTACTATACCAAAAAATCTTCCAAGGCCCAAGGCGGAAACACAAGTCACCAAATCCCCCGTTTCGGCACCAACTGGTTGCCTTTATCAACAAGGTTTTCTATTTGTTTTAAATTTGTTACTTTATGTTGCAGCTTTGTATCAGCACATGCAGACGATGAAAATGATATAGAGATAGATACGTACCCACAATGCACTGCACATTATTACTGTGGGTGTAATAGACCTTAGACCTTTCCCACCGATGGCTGGGCTGTCATATTGGTAAATTAAAATTCCATGTAAGAAGATAGTCTTGGAGAGAAATTATACGTAGACGCTGTATTGCTATCTACATATTCTATTAAATCTATTGGCTGATCTGCATCCATTTTGGCTTTAACAATAACTTAAAGTTATTGTTTTACTCCTTCATGTCCTTATGATGAAGTCATTCATTGTGGTTGACTCATCCAGGAGCCAAGTGATTGATATAAGCTTTGGTATGGAGTGTTTGTGACTTTTTGGGGAGTTTTCATAATTGATATTTTACTGAGATTTATTGTAAGAGAGAACATTGAGACAAAGCAGGGGCCGTAACAAACAGAAACCGCTAATCGAGAAACAAACAGCTCAGGTGATCTCCAAATGAAAGGGAGAGAAGTGATAGTTCAGGGGTAGAAATAAAAATGACTGGGGGTACGGGAGGCACAGAGTACGGAGGATAACAAACATGAAGGAGGGAGTAGAAGAAAAAAGAAAGATAGAAAAAAGGAAAAATAACTTACTTTCTGAAAATCATATTTTCAGTGAGATAAAAGAAAAGTAATAATTGTTTTTTCTCTTTACATTTTCCAGGCAGAATTTCCTCAAATCACAGAGTTTTCAAGCTTGTCACCAATTCCTGGTTTTACCAAATGGTTGGTGGGAGTTCTGAGCTCCCAGAGTAAGGAATCTGGTAAGAATGAGCTTTTTTTGGAGTCAGAAAGCAAAGAGATTTCGGACATTCTCGGAGGGCCGCTGTCAGAGTCCCTAAAACGCCTCTTCACTAGCAGTGAGTGGATGAGATCGGAAAGATTGGTCAACGCCCTGGAGGCACCATTAATGAGACTATGTTCTTGGTACCTGTACGGAGAAAAGCACCGTGGTTTCGCCTTGAACCCAGTAGCGAACTTTCATCTGCAGAACGGCGCCGTAATGTGGCGTCTGAACTGGGCGGCAGACACAAGTCCACGTGGAGGAACGTCCTCTTGCGGCATGATGGTCAATTATCGTTATTTCTTGGAAAACACAAGTGCCAATAGTGTTCGGTACTTAAGAACAAAACACATTGAGGCTTCTGATCAAGTGCTGAATTTGGTATCTCAGTTCAAAAGGAACAGCAAATTGTAACTAGGCCTAGCTCACTGTACAAATGAGAGAAATCAAAATAATTTTATATATGTTGTCTATATAGTGGTATGTGTGCAAGATACAAGTATTCTTTGGGTGCCTCCAACAGTGCATGCATTTAGAATTTCTGGCACTGACTGAGCCGTCTGTCTTAACAGAGTGACACTAAATATCTCTCCTGTTGTGATGGTACTTGATGACTATAAATGAGAAGATTTGAGGAATGACAAATCCTCCTCCGGAAGGATGCCATGTTATGTAATGATAATGCAGGTAATGAAGAAAAAGTGCTATGTTCTCAGATCTGTAGCACCATCAGAGGGTTTGCTTTGTTGTAACATGTATTGTCCACATTGTAAAAATCCAGGGGTGTCTGCAGCCCTGTGGGACTGGGTGTTAGACAGCAGAAGGAAGCTTGGGCCACGAATCAGATGACTTCCCTTTGGCACATTGCTTACACCACATATTCTGCCAATACCTCAGTGGAATAAAATGTATAATAGTGACACTTGATTCTGCCTTGTGCCTTCATTATGTCTAACTATAGATTCTTGGTTTACTTTGTTAGAATTCTGTAACTCTGACAGCTTTGCTTTAATGTCTGTCTCTTCTAAAATGTGTAAATAACACCGACCCCCATCTCTATTGCTTTACTGTCAGACTAATGAACATAAACTACTATTTGTTGTGATCTCTTTAAACACATTTTAATCACTACCTCTGCCTTCCATAGTCTATGGAACTGGCCACACGCAACGTATGTAAATAGCATTATTTTATTTTTGTATAATTTACATTTTAAAGGTTATCTTGCTTGGCTACAGTCCAATGAGAATTTACCTATATCCATACGTCCATCTCTGGAGAACCTCCCTTCTCAAGTCTAAAGCATTTAACTAATTTCATCTGAATGTGTGTATATAATATAATCTCAATACACTTTAAAATCTGATTTAAACTTCATTGTAATCCAGCAAGCTGTATAAAACACACACTTTGTATTTAATTACTACTTCCTTTAAGCACAGAATTTTCAGTTCAATATTGTCATGTTTTGGCTAGCGTTAGTGACTATAAACAAACACACAATTTCAAATAACCACACAGCCTGGTGTTGCATTTCAGGGAACCGTCTAAGTGCCAACACACCTTTAAAGCCTGAAATTAATCGTTCTCTCGTCAGATGTGTGTAAACCATCACTTTGAAACCTGCCACAATAAATATCGCACGGTAGTTCACATCAACTCGTACAGATCAGCTTCTAGTGTGGGGTTTGTGCGAAATTTCTTTTTTTTGTTGTTATTTAAAAAATGACTTCTCACTTTTTAGTTTAGTTTGGCGAAAAAGCCAGTAGACATTTCATCCTTTTTATTTTTGTTTTTATTGCCGACACTGTGTATATTTGATGTTCAAATGATCGGAATATGAAGAGTTGATGGTGAAAGCACGCTTGCTAGTCAGTCAGCTCTAAACATAAAGAGACTGATATTCTCTGCTTTGTATTACAGCAGAATCAATATGGCGCCTTCCGAGCATATGATCAAACGTACACCAGTTCTTTGTGATATATCCACAAACACCAATCAGTAGATAAACTTCTCCAGGATGAAAGGAAGCCGATAAATTATTGTTTCTGCCTCCTGCATTACAATCAAAGACCGGCTAAAACGTTTGTGTTGTTCTATACAAGTTTGATGTATCCCTTTTGTCTTCACTATGGAATTGTTGATACTGCAAGATTCATCCTGTATGCACATAGTTACTTGTATCAAGAGAATGTTTTTTTGTCATACAGAGCAAGTTTGTCGGGGTCAGAGAGTGCCAGCAGTTATATTTGTGCATTTAATGTTTTTAATAGTTTTAGAGATTTCAGACTTGTAGATATGTTTTCATTTATCTCTGTTTTCAGCCATCTTTCGCTGTGTTCTTATCGTTTCGTTTCTTTGTAACGACGTACATCCGGGGTATGTGTCAATAAAACCCCTGGTCTAATGCATGTGATTTATACACAATGTACGGAATCCTCTTCGCTTATCAAATGTACACGGTTTTCTTTATAAATCAAATAAATTAACTGTTCAGATTTAAAGCGTTCAGTTTTCTTTTTGGATAGGGATTGGGATAGAAAGTGGATATTAAAGTTTGCATCAGCTGTTTTATATATAATGAAGTGTCCTATCGTGTAGCTTAAACAGAGCTTTTCTCAGCTTTAAATCATGTTGTGGGATAGAGATTTTTATACTTTGATTAATGTACAGATTTTGGTATAGGAAGGTAACCTTTCCCCACTGTCCCAATCTCCTAGCTATAAGGTTATGGTGTAAGGAGGTCCCCTGTCTCCCTGCACACAGTGTGTTATAACTGCAGCTATAAGGTTATGGTGTAAGGAGGTCCCCTGTCTCCCCGCACACAGTGTATTATAACTGCAGCTATAAGGTTATGGTGTAAGGAGGTCCCCTGTCTCCCCGCACACAGTGTATTATAACTACAGCTATAAGGTTATGGTGTAAGGAGGTCCCCTGTCTCCCTGCACACAGTGTATTATAACTGCAGCTATAAGGTTATGGTGTAAGGAGGTCCCCTGTCTCTCTGCACACAGTGTATTATAACTGCAGCTATAAGGTTATGGTGTAAGGAGGTCCCCTGTCTCCCCGCACACAGTGTATTATAACTGCAGCTATAAGGTTATGGTGTAAGGAGGTCCCCTGTCTCCCCGCACACAGTGAATTATAACTGCAGCTAAAAGGTGATGGTGTAAGGAGGTCTCCTGTCTCCCCGCACACAGTGTATTATAACTGCGGCTATAAGGTTATGGTGTAAGGAGGTCCCCTGTCTCCCCGCACACAGTGTATTATAACTGCGGCTATAAGGTTATGGTGTAAGGAGGTCCCCTGTCTCCCCGCACACAGTGTATTATAACTGCAGCTATAAGGTTATGGTGTAAGGAGGGCCCCTGTCTCCCCGCACACAGTGTATTATAACCTCATCTATAAGGTTATGGTGTAAGGAGGTCCCCTGTCTCCCCGCACACAGTGTATTATAGCTGCAGCTATAAGGTTATGGTGTAAGGAGGTCCCCTGTCTCCATGCACTATAACTGCAGCTATAAGGTTATGGTGTAAGGAGGTCCCCTGTCTCCCTGCACACAGTGTATTATAACTGCAGCTATAAGGTTATGGTGTAAGGAGGTCCCCTGTCTCCCAGCACACAGTGTATTATAACTACAGCTTATGTTATGGTGTAAGGAGGTCCCCTGTCTCCCTGCACACAGTGTATTATAACTGCAGCTATAAGGTTATGGTGTAAGGAGGACCCCTGTCTCCCCGCACACAGTGTATTATAACTGTAGCTATAAGGTTATGGTGTAAGGAGGTCCCCTGTCTCCCCGCACACTGTGTATTATAACTGCAGCTATAAGGTTATGGTGTAAGAAGGTCCCCTGTCTCCCTGCACACAGTGTATTATAACTACAGCTATAAGGTTATGGTGTAAGGAGGACCCCTGTCTCCCCGCACACAGTGTATTATAACTGCAGCTATAAGGTTATGGTGTAAGGAGGTCCCCTGTCTCCCCGCACACAGTGTATTATAACTGCAGCTATAAGGTTATGGTGTAAGGAGATCCCCTGTCTCCCGCACACAGTGTATTATAACTGCAGCTATAAGGTTATGGTGTAAGGAGGTCCCCTGTCTCCCCGCACACAGTGTATTATAACTGCAGCTATAAGGTTATGGTGTAAGGAGGTCCCCTGTCTCCCCGCGCACAGTGTATTATAACTGCAGCTATAGGGTTATGGTGTAAGGAGGTCCCCTGTCTCCCCGCACACAGTGTATTATAACTGCAGCTATAAGGTTATGGTGTAAGGAGGTCCCCTGTCTCCCCGCACACAGTGCATTATAACTGCAGCTATAAGGTTATGGTGTAAGGAGGTCCCCTGTCTCCCCTCACACAGTGTATTATAACTGCAGCTATAAGGTTATGGTGTAAGGAGGTCCCCTGTCTCCCCGCACACAGTGTATTATAACTGCAACTATAAGGTTATGGTGTAAGGAGGTCCCCTGTCTCCCCGCACACAGTGTATAATAACTGCAGCTATAAGGTTATGGTGTAATAAGGTCCCCTGTCTGCCCACACACAGTGTATTATAACTACAGCTATAAGGTTATGGTGTAAGGAGGTCGCCTGTCTCCCCGCACACAGTGTATTATAACTGCAGCTATAAAGGTTATGGTGTAAGGAGGTCCCCTGTCTCTCCGCACACAGTGTATTATAACTGCAGCTATAAGGTTATGGTGTAAGGAGGTCCCCTGTCTCCCCGCACACAGTGTATTATAACTGCAGCTATAAGGTTATGGTGTAAGAAGGTCCCCTGTCTGCCCACACACAGTGTATTATAACTACAGCTATTAGGCTATGGTGTAAGGAGGTCGCCTGTCTCCCCGCACACAGTGTATTATAACTGCAGCTATAAAGGTTATGGTGTAAGGAGGTCCCCTGTCTCCCCGCACACAGTGTATTATAACTGCAGCTATAAGGTTATGGTGTAAGGAGGTCCCCTGTCTCCCCGCACACAGTGTATTATAACTGCAGCTATAAGGTTATGGTGTAAGGAGGTCCCCTGTCTCCCGCACACAGTGTATTATAACTGCAGCTATAAGGTTATGGTGTAAGGAGGTCCCCTGTCTCCCCGCACACAGTGTATTATAACTGCAGCTATAAGGTTATGGTGTAAGGAGGTCCCCTGTCTCCCCGCACAGTGTATTATAACTGCAGCTATAAGTTATGGTGTAAGGAGGTCCCCTGTCTCCCCACACACAGTGTATTATACCTGCAGCTATAAGGTTATGGTGTAAGGAGGTCCCCTGTCTCCCCGCACACAGTGTATTATAACTGCAGCTATAAGGTTATGGTGTAAGGAGGTCCCCTGTCTCCCCGCACACAGTGTATTATAACTACAGCTATAAAGTTATGGTGTAAGGAGGTCCCCTGTCTCCCCGCACACAGTGTATTATAACTGCAGCTATAAGGTTATGGTGTAAGGAGGTCCCCTGTCTGCCCACACACAGTGTATTATAACTTCAGCTATAAGGTTATGGTGTAAGGAGGTCCCCTGTCTCCCCGCACACAGTGAATTATAACTACAGCTATAAGGTTATGGTGTAAGGAGGTCCCCTGTCTCCCCGCACACAGTGTATTATAACTGCAGCTATAAAGTTATGGTGTAAGGACGTCCCGTCTCCCAGCACACAGTGTATTATAACTGCAGCTATAAGATTATGTTGTAAGGAGGTCCCCTGTCCCTGTCTTGTAATCAAACTTATCTATGCACTAATTTAGTTGATCTCTCTCTCTATTTATCATATTAATATGCAGAGTACAGCCGGTGCAGCTGTGATTCCAGTATCCATCTAGTCCCTGGAAATGGTTAATCTGCAGTGTTGAGATTTAATACTGCTTTTCCTCTATCACACAGGTGCCTGCAGTCAAAGCGGAAAAAAATATATATAAAGAAACCAACTGGATTTGATTAATGGTAGTCCTTTAGCATTGACACAATAGACACAGTAAAATTGCTGAACAGGGATATCCATCCCTTCGCCGCTGGGTTATTTGAGGATTTGCCTAGCAATGTTCTAAACACATTCTTAAATCAACTTTACTGATACTGCTGCATGTGCAAGAGCGACTCCGATCAGAGAGAGGGAAGGCAGGGAATACTGTGTGGCCTGAATTGTGCATTTGTTAAGTCACCGCTTTTCACTGTTTAGTGAATACTCCACTCTGACATTGACACATTAAGGAGCCATTCTGTTCTTGTTAAGAGTCTGGAGAGGAAACATCCATCAAACACGGACACCCGCATTACGAATTGTAGGAGCTGGGGCCCTGGGGCCCATGAAGCCAAAATGACACCACGATTGACAGCAAGTATTGGGGCTTAGTTAAAACATAATCTGAATAGCAATATCCAAGGAGGCCAAGGATATGCAGTCATAAGGCGAAAACCAACAAAACGCGGCATACAGGAGGTCCGAAAACAACTGCAGGTTTTGTGTGGAAATGTAAAGTTTACTATATAGACATATATACAACAGAGAATATTGAACCACTATGGGTCTGTTTCAAGGATGGGACATAGATCTATGGCAATATATATCTTCCCTATCTTTTTATATATTAAAACAAACAAACAGTCCATTTTTTACACACACACAAAGATTATATAGAATTTAATTTTTTGTATAATGTCACATATTCACTGATTTCTAACTAAAACCCTGCATGTAATAACACTTTCCTGACCTCTTGGATGTCTTAATGAACCGGTAATGCTTCTGGTGCATGGAGGTCTCAGGACATTGTCTATTAGTTAGTTAATTTTTTCCTGTAAAAAGCTGCTTCTCCCCCCAAGGAGTATTATGCACACACTCCCTATTTTGGCATTTCCAGCTTGCCTCCCCTGCCACTCCTACATAGAGGTGATATAAGCTGGGGTTTAGGTCTAATGCCCTATTGCAAGCTCACATCAATTTTTACAATTTCTTGGCTATTAATCCTCCCGTGTTTAAAAGAAAGCTGAGACAGTGGTGAGGTATGAAGAATTGAAAAGGTTGGAGAGCTGTGTGTTTAACATTCTCCATAGAATGCATCCTCTCATTTTCACTAGGATCTGGAACCAGCTTGTCCCTTTTACCGCTGCCTCCATGGGAGACATGATTAATTCACTACTGACATGCAGTTGGATTTCTGGCATCATTACAAAATGTGTTACAAAGCTGAATATCATGTTTACCGTCTGGCAAAGTGCAATCAAGGCACACAACATGGAAACCCTTCCCAGTCATGGTTTAACATTCTTCATTGACCACAAATGCTTCCCAGTCATGGTTTAACATTCTACATTGACCAATAGCTCAGGAGAATATTAGTGATCACTAAGGTTCCATCTTGCTGACATGGAGGCCAAAAGGGAGAGTTTTAGTGATGGTAAGATTTCGCCTTCTGACAGCAATATCACTGAGGTCAACGTCATATGCAGCGTCACGCTGCTTCAAACACGAACCACAAGATTGCACCTGAAAAGGACTGT